CATTCATTCTTCCTTCCAATTCTCCTTCCAAAACCCTAACTCCTACCTCTAGAGCGCACACACCTACCTCCTAGTGTGGGCCTAGGCTACTAAGCCTAGGCCCCACTACCTAATATTCTAACAAAATCTTCTGGGCGTTTTCCGACGCCTATGAGGACCAGCTTCTACTGTCCTGGCTCTAGAGAGCACAGCAACTTCAGGAAAATCTTGCATCAATCCATGTCGTCCAGCAGTAATAAAACTCCCGTCAGCATTATCCACCAGTTGCATATGCACTTCCTGTAACTTCCAGCCTTTCTCATGTCGAAATTTATATGTCGTTTCGTCGTCCACAGCCTTAGAAAATAAGTACTCGTCGTTGAACAGGTGAGCCAAGGAAAAATCTTCCAGGTTGAACGTTTCCAGCCGGAAAACCTCTTCGCCTCCAAACACTTCAGCAGTCGTTAACGTAGTTATTTCGGACGCTTTGAGAGTCGAACGTCGTTGCTCTGGTTCCTTGAAGAAATACTTCTCACATTCTCCAGAGCATGAAACTTCTTCTCCATGCCATCCTGGGTGATGACTTGAAATAGTAGATCCAGCCATGCCTTTAGGTAGTGAAACCACGTGATTAATGTCTGGCGCTTTATTCCGACTTTTCTTCCTCTTCACTGGTTGTTGATATATGGCAGCAAAAACTGATAATCTGAAAATATTACGTGGTCCCACCTTCCTTGTACTTGCAGATTTTTACTTCTGGTGAAAATGCCTTGATTCTCAGGTCCCATTTTAGGTGACCATTGAAGCTTCGTTGGAGTAACTCAATGTCTTGAGCTTAAGATCAGCTTTATAACCTGAAAGTACAGATCTTCTTAAGCGACGTTAAGACTAACCGATGTTCACTGTTTGAACACAATGTTGGTGTCATTAACAAGCCCTTGAAGAGTAGATCCAGAAAATAGATTCAGATTGCTGAACTGGTTGAGGTAAGCTGGACATTTGCTGAATCAAAGTTCTCCTAAGGAGCCATGGCGGAGAGCTATTATTGCCTGAATGGTCTTACGCAAATAGTTCGAATTAGCAGTCACCCTCCATGCTCGGGAGCGTGTCTGAGAGCAATCCCTGTGGGCAATGTCAACTGACCAAACTTGTGCAAGAGACCCCAGCTCGATGATGTTCATTCGCTGCGTCAAGGTGAATCGAAATTCGTACTGCAATTGTACCGTAACTTCATTCCGTTGTGGGAAGGCGCTGTATAAGGTAGCCAAACGTAGGGCGGAATCTAGGGTTAGAGCAGAGCGGACACCTCACCGCCATCACGTGAGATTCCAGCAGGCTCATCAAGAGAAGTCGGTCTTTATTTGGCCATTTTGATATGTCAGAGCGAATCCGAATCTCCAAACTTAGTGCACTGATTCAGCATGTGTGTCTGACTATCCACTAAGGCTCTACCTCGGATTACTTCCCCCGTTATAGTCGCGGCATTCGCTCAATAGTAGGGGAGCAGGATCGGAAAAATCACATCTCCCCATGGCGAATTAGAACCTCTGCTGTGGTATATTTTTTAAAACAATCTCAATCTTATTCGAGCAGTGATGGCGATTACTACGAGGAATGCTCCCGCAGTTCCTTGCCTTCAAGCGCCAGCGAGGAGTCGCCATCCCTCGACAACACTTCGAGGGATGTCGACATATCCTGACGGTCGGAACCCTCGATCCGAGGCTTGACATTTACCAGCATCCCTCGAAGCTTGTCGGGGGATGTTGATGTTCCCTGCAAACACGCTCTAAGCACAACATAGAGCGGCTTTTTCCAGTACTCACGCACTCATCCACAACAGACTCAATCTGTTGCCTTTATTACTAATACCACCAGCGCTCAGAATTCCAAGCCTAGCACTACTAGCTGCTTGGGGAAACAGTTCGCCGCTCAGGGATTCAAGTTGAAACCGTCCGAGTGTGAGTCGATATTCTGCTCGTGCGCTGCCGGGGTCACGTCGTTTGATAGGAATTTCCAGCAACAGCCGGTTTGTTATCAGAAAAGGCCTGTTCTTTACAGTGTTGCGGAAAGCATGGCGCCGCGAAGCCCGTGGACGAAACAGCTGCTGCGAGAGCACCACGCGGAGATTGGAAGAGTTCCATTCAAGAGGACGCAGCAGCAGGCACGTGGGAAGGTGGGGCGAGAAGGCAAGCGTGTGCAGGAGCACGAGGCAGCTGCGGGGAAGCGGAAGCGCTATGATGCTGCTAATGACGACTGCCATGGCGGTCGCACCACTTCCTCAGATGCAGAGACAGGACGCTCCAGTGGCAGTGGCACGTCAAGGCGGCGGCGCACAACAGCTGGACGTCCTCCAGAGGTCACTACCACGCCCAGACAGCCCGCAGCTACGAGCTGGAGCTGGCCAGAGGGACGTGCGCCCCTGCCAGAGCCTCAGCTTCACTGCTGCAGCAGCCGTGGCGCCGCCAGTGCAAGCAGTATCTCTCCTCGGCCCAGCTGGGGGGCATACTTCCATGCCAAGCTCTCACACGGGCTGCCCCTGCCGCTGCAGCTGCTTCACTCTCAAGAACTGCCCCTGCCTCTGCCCCTGCCCCTGCTTCACACACACGTTCTGCCACTCTCTCTGCCTCTGGCCTTCTCGAGGGCATTCGAGTCACCTGACATGGTCAATCAAGGTGGTGAATGTGGAGCGGCGGGTGGGAGGCTGATGGTAGAGGCGAGTGTTGAAGCACGTTTAGCGTCTGTGTCACCGTATGCGGTCCGCGCTGCTGACTTTGTTGTCCCTGACCTGAACCTCCCCCCTGTTGCTGATGATGCCAGTGATCGCGCCACTGGTGATGGCGCCAGTCGTGGTCTTGGTGGTGGTGATGGTGGTGATGCTAGTGGTGCTGGCCTAACAGCAGTCGCTGATTGTGGGCGCACTCAATCTGTATGTGAAAGTGATCGGCTGCATGGTTGCATCCGCGACGCATTATCAGCGTCTGGGTTGGTCACATTGTCGGCACGTTTGGGTGAATTAAAGGGCGCTGCCTTGATTGAGCAGCGGCAGCAGCAAGTTGATTGGTTCACAGCTTCAGATGCAGCAGTAGGGTGAAACGGAGCTAAGGAAACCTTATCAAAGAGATTTTGATTCACAAATCAAGAGCTGCCTCTTTTATTTTGTAACTGAGTATAGGCGTTGACAATAGTATTCCACTTCTGTTGTTGGGATTGCATACCGTATCTGGAGGGCATTTCGTTTATGATGGCCACATGATCATCAGGCCCGTGTTCACGAAAAGCATTACCGGTATAAACGTCCCTCTAGGTGGCAGGGACCTTACCGTACATCTTACCGTACAACCCTAAACCCTTACCGGTACATCTTTGCTGCTCCTTCGGAGATTACCAGTACCAGGAATTCTTCAACAGCTTGCAAAGCCCTTCCTGATCAACAAAACTCTTGGTTCGCGTAGAAAGAGTCCTCAACTTGGTCAGGGAGGTCAAAAGCAGCAGCCCATCGCCGGTCACTGTCGTTTTCTCAAGCTTCAGCTCCTCAAGAGTAGTCAACTTCGCCACATGCTTCATGCCAGCATTGCTTACCCCCTGTGGCAGAGAAACCTTTTCCAGCCTGACCAACGATCTCAAGTGCTGCAGCCCGTCATCCCCCACCTGCGTCTCGCTCACATTCAACTTCTCAAGCCTCGACAGTTGTCCCACATGGATCATGCCAGCGCTCGTCACCTCAGCAGGCAATTTGAGTTTCTTCAGCTTGAAAAACGACGTCAAGTGCTGCAGCCCATTATTTTTCACCTTCGTACCAAATAGATCTAACTCTTCAAGCCATGCCAATCTCGCCACATGCACCATGTCAGCATCGCCAACCACACCATCCAAATACAGTCATTGAGAAAGCTTGCTTTCTTGTCCTTATAATTTGGCATCGTTCTCATTGCAACTGGCTTATTACAACATATGCATCGTTCGTAAACACATGCTAGTACATGCAAATATTACTAGCTATGGAGTCGTCCGTCCAAGCAGCTGTGGTCTTGTAGTTGGTCCGGGGTGGGTGGTGGGGATGTTGATTGAGCCGTTGGAAAACGAGAAACGTGGGTGGAGGGAATGAACTCCAACCCACGGTTTTTGTAGTTGGAGAAGGGCGTTTAGCGCGCTTCGACGCTGCCAAATATTCGGTACAGTCAGCTTCGCTTTCACAATACACAATTTTGAAAAACATCAATGTGTTTAAAAATTATAATTTTTTAGGTTGGTGAGCGAAGTCAAGTGCTGCAACCCATCACCCTTCACCTCCTCAAAACAAACATGCAACTCCTCGATCCCTGTCAGCTTCCCAACATACGCCATGTGCGCATCAGTAGCATCCCACGGCACATACATTTTCCTCAGCTTGGCCAGGCAAGTCAAGTGCCGCAGCCCCTTAGCTGTCACCGCAGTTCCGTTCAAATACACCTCCTGAAGGCTCGTCAGTTTCCCCACATGCACCATGCCGGCAGATGTGACATGCTGACAGCCATCCAGCCAGAGCTTTTCAAGTGCCGTGAGGCCAACCAAGTGCCGCAGGCCAGCATCAGTCACCTTGGTTTCAGACAGATCGAGAAACCGTAGAGTGCTCATCTCTCCGATGCCGTCCAAAAACTTATCCACTATCGACGTGTTGTTGAGAAGGAACCACTCCACCCGGGGGAGCTTGTACAGGTGCTTCAGACCCCTGGATGTGAACCCAGAAGCGAACTTGAGGCATAAGTTCGTGAGGTGGGTCAAGGTTGATGAATACCAGAGCATCTCGTCTGAAACAACAGTCATATTTCTGAAGTACAGCCTGTCTGAATCACGTTCCGTTGTATCTGATGAGAGCGCAACCATCTGGGGGAGACAACGCAGTGTGATGACAAAGGAAGGAAATGGGGAGAAATTCACTGGAAATATGCACAAATTGAAGAAGTAGCAGAGCAAATCATAGAGCAACTGATGTGAGCATGGAAAAAAATGCAGCAGTTGAAAAAAACTTCAAGTGGCAGAAGTTAACTCACCTCCCATGCTCTTTCAACCTCTGCTTCCCTCTCCTCCCTCTCCTCTTTCGATAAGCACTCGTCTGATTGGCTGGAATCTTCTTTCCAACTTTCAGCTGCATCCAGTTGTTCTGTCACCGAGTCCTTGAATTCAGTGAAATCTTCTATGGCCGCAGCCAACTCCCTCCTTGCCACTTCCTGCTGCCCCTGCAGAGCACTCATCATCTCGGATTGACCTTCCTCCACGGCCCCCTTCACTGCTGCCAGCTCTCCTTGCACTGCTACCAACGCTCCCTTCATTATTGCTAACTCTCTCTCCCTTTCCCCCAACTCCCTCCTGAACCCACTCATCTCCACCCTCACCGCACCCAACTCTCTCTCACTCTCCTCCACCCGCCCCCTCAACTGCAGCAACTCCCCTGTCCTTCTCTGAACCTCATCCATCTGCGCGACCATTGAGAGCTTATGTTCCATCAACTCCATCCCCATCGCTGCTAGCTCCCTTTCCCTCTCCTCCACCAGCCCTCTGAGCTCTCTCGAGTCTATTGCCCTTCGCCTTGCAACCTCCTCCACTCGCTCGGTCAAAGAGGCTCTGTGTTCACCCAACTCACTTCTCACTGCTGCCAGCTCCCGCTCCCTCTCCACCACCTGCTCCCTCATTGCATTCCACTCCACTGTCCTCCTCCTTTCAGCTTCCTCCACCTCCCTCCGTGTCTCCTCCAGCTGCTCACCAAGAGCCCTCATTCTGGCATCCGTTGCCTCTTTCAGCTGCCATATTGCGGCTATATTCTCGACGACTGTTCTGACAGATTCACTTAGCCTCCGCATTCCGATACCACAGAGCTCACTGCACGTGGCGGTTGACGGGCAGGAGAGTAGCAAGGAAACCAAGACTTTAGTTCCATGTGACAAGGAAATGCTAACAACTGGAAAGACAGGACACATTACAATCTAAAGAACTCAGACGTAGGACTGTTGGAGTTGAGTGGGCACGTGGTACCTACGCATACAATCACAAATGCATCACACACGGAATTATGGACAGCGAATAGAATAATAAAATCCTGAAACTCCCAATCTCCCTTGGATTTGCATGTCTAAGCATGATTGCCACAAACTGCGAACACATAATCTGATGAGGTCTGCAAAAGTACTGAAAGCAGAAGTTAGCAAACAATAAAGAGCAAAGTCATTCTCACATGGGTTTCTGGAGTAGTTGTACAAGGAGAGTCATTCTCCCTTCAGCCTGTAACATTGTGACGGAGAGGAAGAGAGTGGCGTAGGAAGCAAAAGGTGAAAGGAGGATGAGAAGGGAAAGAAGGATGCGGCAGTAAAAGAGTGCCTAATTCCTTGACACGATAAGTACTCACTAACACTATCCTAGGTTGCCAAATCCCTCCATGGCTGACCCAAAGTCCTTAATCGCCATTCCACAACTCGAACACGCCATGGAACCTGTTTAAAAACCATGTGCTCAAGCGCCTCACCTCCAGTCAGCACCTATGACCAACTTCGGAGCATGCACCGATCGTCCCTGAAAAAACTTGAAGTATGTACATGGTGCGTTGCTTTGCATTCATGGCAAAAAACCGTAGTTCAGTGATGACAGAAAAACGAAGCAAGCCCATTCCTTCCTACTCAATTCCACGCCCAAAGCTCAAATCATGTTCAAGGAAGAGTCGCATCGTGCAATTCTTGCATCGTATCGTACCAAGGTTGTCCCAGTCAAGCCCAGCTGATGCAACCATGCTCTGACTTGCGGTTGTGATACGTCCATCCACCAGAGCAGCATGGTCAGCGGAAGTATACCCGAATACAGAATGTTAACCTGCAGTTTGAAAGTATAGGGGAACGTGGACTCATGGTGAAAATGCATGATGGACTCTGCTTGTGTTGAACTGTGCTAAATGGTCGATGTCAGCAGCAGAGTCAAGTTGTATGGACGTACCGAGCAAAAAAAAGCAAAAATACGAAAATCGGGCAGCGGAAATGGCCACGCGCAGGGGATAGGTCAGGGAATGGAGAAGCGGGAAGAGGGAAGAGAGAGGAGGGAAGAAAGAAGGGTCAAGGGACGAGGGATGACGGACAACGGAGGCAGGGGGGAGGAGGGAAGAGGGAAGTTGGAACAGGGAAAAGGGAACAGCAAAACGGGAAGAGAAACGGAGAACAGGGATCAGGGAAGGGGGAACAGGGAAGAACGAGCTGGAGCGGGGAACGCACAGACCATCAAAACAGCATACCAGATTGATGCAGGCTTTGGCAGCTGAGGAGTTAACTCCAGCGATGATTGCGGTGATAGCCGTGACAACGAATGCGAGTAGCACCCGTGGCACCGCCATACCGACTTCAGCCGTCAGAGGCCGTGGGCATCAGGAAGAACCAGAAGTGCCGCACCAGGGGAGGAAGTCGGAGGCTAGGAATCTCAGGGTTCTTGCGGCTGAAATGGCGGAGCTAGACTCAAGCAAACGGACGAGATGTGCGGGATAACGGAGGGAGAAGACGGATTGGAAGGAAATCCGCACGAAGGAAACGAAGGGCAACGGGGGCGCGAGAGAGGGTGGTGCGGATGCGATTTCCGGAACGAAGATTGGTGGAGGGACGGACGCGCGGCGCGACAAAGGTGGGATGCTGGACACATGTGCCATCGTCGCTGTCAGGCAGAGGCTGGGTGAGCTGCATGAGGTCATAGCAGCGACGCTTTCTCGCTTTGCGTGATGACACAATGGCGACGACGTGATGGAACCACCGGAGGATACGATTGTGCTCCCCGATTGACACATGGAACCTCAACCTATCCAGCACGGTCAGATTTCCTCGGGGAAATCGAGACGCTAGAATTTATCTATACGTGGAGTCAAGCAAGAGGGTTCAAAAGCAATCAAATGGGGGACGTAAGAAGTCCAGATGACGGTGGCGGGAACGGGGTCGCCTGGGAGGTTGCTGTGATGTGATGGCACATACGGTACCCGTCACTGCGACAATCTCCGCTGAAGAGTACACACTGCCAAAAAAAAGCCTGACATGGAAACGAAACACACTGCCTTGGCAAGGTGCAAAGGGCAGGCGTATAATATCTGCTAACTATTTCAATAATCACCTACTACAACCCCTACCGGCTTTTGAGTTGACTCAAAAACCATTTCAAACAAGCCTCAACAGATGATACCATAACTTTCTAGCCCCCACAATATTTATTTCCTCTAATCCAAACCCCTAAAGCTGCTCCTGCCATTTGCCGTATGGATTCCCCGTTCATCACTAAGCATCACATGCGGCCGGCAGCAACATCACCAGCAGCTGCAGCACCAGCAGCAGAACCAGGAGCAGCGGCACCAATGCCAGTTGTTATTCTCAACCCTTCCAATCCAACGGTAGCTACCCCCTCAGCACGGCAGCATCAGTACTGCAGCAGCCGCCACCATCAGCAACACCACCACTGGCGCCAGCACCAGCACCAGCAGCAGCAACACCACTGGCACCACTAGCAGCACCAGCAGTGCGGCAGCAGCAGCAGCAGCGGGGCAGCAGCAGGGGCACTCCTGTCAGTCAAATCAGCTAAAACTCAACTCAGCAACCTTATGTTAGCACCACCACCACCGTCACCATCAGCATCACCAGCCCCAGTCGATTCTGCACACTAGTGCCCCCTCGTGCTGCTGAATCCAGCACCCTCCTCTTGCCCAAACTCCCACCATCACCCCATCAGCATCACTTAAAACACATCACCATTCATCACCGCACCATCGTCAACCAATCCTACTCAGGCCTCCTCAACCTCCCACATCACGCAACCGCATCACCATTCATCATGCCTTTGGAGTCAACTCAAAGGTCACCTATCCGCCTCACCTTCCTCACTCTACCACCCCCACCAAGGTCCTCCTCTCTTCCTCCTCTTCACCCCCGCTCGTCCCCCCCCAAACCTGCAACCCCCACCAAAGTGACTTTTGAGTCAAATCAAAGTTCACCAATCCTCCTCACCTTCCTCACTCTGCCGCCCCCACCAATGTCTTCCTCTTCCGCTTCCTCCCCTTCACCCCCCCTCCCTCCATACCCCCCTGCCCTTCCCCCTCCCTGGCTCTCTGTCTCCCTTGCCCGATTCCGACTAATCTTGCGAACCGGTGCCTCCTGGTGCTGCTCCTGCTGCGACTGCCACTGCTGCTGCGTCTCATACAACGTTCCCTCTGCCCCACCTGCTTCTTCTGCTTCTTCCGCTCCTCCTGCCCCCCCTGCTGCCGCAGCCTCTCCTGCCCCTCCTGCCCTTCCTGCATCTCTTGCTGCTCCTGCTCCTCCTCCTCGCCCTCCCACTCCACCTCCACCCCTCGCCCCCCCCTCTCGTGCGGTCATCACCTCTGCACCATCAGGCACCGCCTCGCACAGTTTCTGCAGGAGTTGTGCAGTCGAAGGGAAATGAAGAGAATGGAGAATCAGGCGCGTTAGACGAATCACTCTAGAGTTAGAGCTACAAACTTACTCCAAAGTGTAATTTAGCACCTTCCCGACCTCCTCAGCTCAACCTGTATACCTTACCCCACCCCTTCCTCCTCACCCCACCCCATCTCCCCCACCCCACCCGTGCCCCTCACCTTCCAGTCGTTGATGTCAAGGCGCATGATAAACTGCCCCTTCGGCTGCGCGCTGCCTGATGCGGGCTCCGTGGGTGGGCGAAGGTCTGCCGGGCAGGTGGAATCGAATTACTCATGTGTAAATATCATTGGATCAAGATGGATAACTTGAACTCGAGACGGGTCCGCAAACATTCACTGAAAGGAGAAAGCTACACGATTCTGACCTGGAGGCTTCTATTCGTGAGTGGGCTTTCACTTAAAAAGCACAACCAGCGAACAGGATAAAACGCAGTCAAACTCACCAACGGCAGCCCCAACGGTCGGATCAGGCGTGAGTTCCCACGCGGCCTTCTTTCACAAGGAAGGAGAGCGCACGAACATGTTCTCCACCATGTGCGCAAAGGACGCGACACCCATGCACAGGCATCAACAACCCCAAGGACCCAAAACAAGCAACCAGATGCAGACTCACCAACAGCAGCCCCAAAGGTCGGATCAGGCGTGAGTCCCACGCGGCCTTCTTTCACAAGGAAGGAGAGCGCAAACATGTTCTCCACCGTGTGAGCAAAGGACGTGCGCGACAGCAGCAGCTGCGGCAGCTGCACGCGGTGCCGCGGCGCCCTCTTGAGCCGACGATACATCTCCTTCACTGTCCCCTCCGTTGCCGTCTCCTTGCTGCCACTGCCACCCTCTGCTCCATCCCCTTCCTTCCCTTGCTGCTTGTTCAGCTGCTCGAAAGCACGTGGAACAAAGGGACCAGGTAAAAGGCATGGAGGAGCAAAGGGAGGGGCAGCAATGAGAGAATAAAGAGCGGATGCAGTGAGAGAGCAGCAGGGGCACGCAGTGCCGTGGCGCCCTCTTGAGCCGACGACACATCTCCTTCACTGTCCCCTCCGTTGCTGTCTCCTTGCTGCCACTGCCACCCTCTCCTCCTTCCCCCGTCCTTCCCTTGCTGCTTGTTCAACCGCTTGAAAAGCACATCATACATAGGGATCAGGTGCAGAGGGGGGAAGGACAGAAGCGCGAAAGGACATAGGGGGGGTGGCGGAAGAGGGATAATGAGGAAGAAGGGATGGTGAGAGAGCCACGGCAGCTACACGCGGTGCTGTGGTGCCCTCTTTACCCAGCCATACATCTGTCCCTCTCCAACATCGCCTCCCTGCTGCCACTATCGCCAGCCTACGCCCCCCCCCTCCCCCCTCCCCTCTCTCCCCCCTCCCCTTCTCCCCACTCCCTTCTCTCTCATCGCCTTCCCCCCCCTCCCCTCTCTCCCCCCTCCCCTCTCCCCACTCCCCTCGCTCTCATCGCCTTCCCACCCATCCCCTCTCTCCCCCCTCCCCTCTCGCCACTCCCCTCTCTCTCATTGCCTTCCCCCCCTCCCCTCTCTCCCTGCTGCCTCTATCGCCATCCTGTCCTTCCCCCTCTTTAATGAGCATTCTCACCTCCCCCCCTCTCTCCCCCCGCATCCACATCCTTCTAGTGAGCTGCATCCCCATCTGCGCAGGTGTTGCAGGCTCACATGCGCAGCACCTCAGCTGGTAACCAGCTCGCCTGCGCTACTGAGGCGCCTCAAGGCTCACCTGCGTAGGCACCACGGTCGCCCCCACCACCTCCCTCTTGCGCCTGACTGCCTGCGCCCTGCGCTTGGGCGCCTCAAAGCTCACCTGCGCAGCAACCAGCTGGTAACCAGCTCACCTGCACGGGAACAACACTTGCCCCCACCACGTCCCTCTTGCGCCTGACTGCCTGCGCCCTGCGCTTGGGCGCCTCCGCCTCCATGGGGCCCAGCCTGCTCCGCACCAGGGGATTGCGGGAGACAGGGGGGAGAGCGGGAGACAGGGGGAGACGGGGGGAGACAGGGAAAAGACCGGATGGGCCAAGGGAATTAAGAGGTTAAATTGGCAGGGGAGGTAGGAGGTATGCTGAGAGGGTGGTGGGCGGGGGAAGAGGGTATGCTGGGAAGAAGGGAAGGGGGAGAGGGGAAGGGTGGTTGGCAAGTTGTAGCGACCGAAACATGCAGATATTACGTAGAGAAGGAACATGCAGTCAGTCACCTACAGACTCACATGGTGCCAATGGTCCAAGCAGGCCGCACCAGCTCCAACCCAAACTCCCTCCCCATCCTCGCCCAATCCATCTCCCCCTCCTCCTCACCCTCTTCTCCCACTCCTTCTACCCCTTCCCCTCCTTCCGTCTCCCCACCTCCCCGCGCCCTACCCCGTCCGCCCCCCCCGCGCGCCCCATGTCCGCACAGCCCTGCGCGGACAAGGTACTTGGCTCTAAGCGCCGCAACGAACTGCTCAGGCGTGGCAGCGTGGCGGCGCAGCAGCGCCTCCGTGGAGTGTGCGAGCACCTGCAAGAAGCCGCCCATTGCGTATTACTATCGAGAACACAGGTCCGGCCGAAGTGCAGCAATTAACAACTATAAAAGCAGAAGAAAAAAAAAACAGTGTAGTTATTGTAAGTTAGGCAAGTGTAGATATCAAAAGTAATAACAGTATGATACCTGAGAGAGGCCGTCCAGCACATCGGCGTCCATAAGCTTCTCGCGCAGCTTCAGGTCCGAGGCCACGCCAGGGTTCGTCGTCAGCTTGTTGGCTGTCTCCAGAATCTCCTCGAACTTGCTCGACCCGATGCTCAGCTCATTGCGGTTCGAGCACTCTGGTGGTGCGGGATGGGACGAGAAAGAAGGTAAACATATTGTTATGAGACATCACCCTTACGACTTCCTGATACAGGTTCACTGTCAGGGTTCTGACGGTTTTTACTTGATTATTTTTGTTAAAACTTTTCGTGAAAGAAGTAGGTAGACGTGTGCTGGCCGTTACAAGCATGCATTAGCAGGTCACGAACAAGACGAATCGATGTCGGTATCAGAAGAATGAGATTGCGAGTGGTAATAGCTGAAAATGGCAATTTGAAAAAACTAGGGTAGATGACGAGTGAAGCTGGTGCCAATACCGCGGAACAATCCGATTCTAAGAGCAAAGAAGAAAAGGTTATGGCAATGATTATGCAACAAGAATAACTAAATGTCAGTATTAAGAGAATGTGATGTCAATACCTAGAAAATAGAACAAGTAACTAACCCTTGATGGATGAAAAGTCTACCGTAAAAGAAGGGACAAATATCCTTAGCAGAAACCTTACCTGCAACTTGCGCTTGAAGGCCTCTTAGCCGAACCCTAACCTCCCGGCGCCGTTTCAGATTATTCGCCATCTGCGCCGCTCCTTCGTTCTCCTGATTCTCCCTCCTGTCCCTTTGCCGGTTCATCGGACGACCTCGGTTCAGAGCGGTGCCGGTTGGCACCGTAGAAGGGCCGGAGTGCTGCTGTTGAAACGACGGCGGCATTCCCGTGAAGGAGGTTAACCCTAATGGACGGGTCCGCTACAGTCTGACGAACTATGATTTCAATTATAAATGTTACTAAATCTGAGGCTTCAAAGGAGGCTGAAACCGAGGTAATAGAATCTTGTAGCGGCGTAGTTCGAATGTTGCACCTTGCCTAACGAATGGATGATAGTCGCGACAGTACCAACAACCTTTCGCTGTCCGTTCGTTCAGACTGGGAGCACGAGCACGTGAAAAAGACGCTGGCGGAAAGCTGAGTTCCCGTGGTGCAGAAAAGGCACTGATTAGGTAGCGATTGAGAAATGGTTTTAGCGACCTAAATAGTAGAAAATCGAGGTCCCCGAAGACACACACGGCTTACAGTTCAAGCTTGAAGTTACTCGCGCGAACGCACGGTATATCTTGCTCCTCTAACTGAGGTGCTGGAACCCTAAACTATACTGACAAGACGCAAGCGTAAACATTCTCCGTGAGCGACAGGGCTGCACCATGCACAGAGGTATTATGACACGACTTTGCGCGAGGTCGTGGTTTAGATTATTCTCAGCCTTTTGCCAAAGACTCTTCAAGGATACCTTGAAGTTTCTTCACAGTGACGCCAGGCCTTCAAACGTTGTACCTTGTTTTGCAACGCGCGGGAAAGAGCGAATGTTCGAGCAGGCTGACAAATTTGTGCGTTTCAGTTTTTTCAGTGACGCCGTCCTCCCAAGGTAATCGTGAACTGGAAATTTTTCAACGTTCAGGGATTATTTTTGCCAGAACATTGCGATGCTTCAAAACCATACCTGGTTAACCAATGACGTCCGAGAGTTCCGGGTACAGTGCACACTCGGGGGTAAGACAAGGGGCAACTGGGGCAAAATTCCTGATGCTGGAGAAATGTAGACTTGGCGGGAAACGGTACCGCGTTTTCACAATTGGCGTCATGCTGACATACAGTTCGGATTTCTGTGTTCGGTTTGGAAATTCCAGAGTTTGAAAGCCCAATTCAGGCGACTTCGATAAGTGCATCACAAAGGTTCTCAAAGCCAACCACACAAGGTTTGCCAGCATATTGTCATTATCTTCTCGTATCAAGAAAAATTTATCATGTGATTAGCGTAAATCTTAACGGCACCTAATAATTGCAACATATTAGTGCTCTTCGTGTGAATATCCTAATCACAACAATCTAGCAAAAATATGTGTACATGAGGGACTTGATTGAAGATAGATCTAACCAAACTGGTTCGGCAACCAACCCTATTTTTTTCCCTGGTCAGCTTCATTCGACCTATAGTTACTACTAACCATGTGCTTTGGCTTATACTCGTACGGAGCTGACTTCGGACCCCACACCTGCCACAAGGGGAAATGTTAAGACACAATGACCAGTGCAGGTTGTTGAGTACAAGACAGATATAACGGGCACATGGACATAACAAGCAGATGCAAACATACCTGCACCCCATCATCCTTGTAGCCTCTGTCCCAACTGTGAACTTCTCCACTACGAAATAGAGTAAGCTCTGAAGTGCACCGGGTAGCTCCGTTCTGCATGAGCAGCCAAGCCAAGCCAGCATCCCCCACACTCAGTCATCCCCTTCCCCCCCCCCCCCCCCCCCCCCCTCAAATCCCACACCAGGAACAAACCATCAAACAAACAAATGATTGAGCTCGCTGTTGTCACATCCAGCAGCTGCACCAGTGAATGGAGCACAGCGAAAAAAAAAATAAAAAAAATGATAATCCATATCTGTGAGTCTGCAGATCGAAAACGTTTATGTTACAATTCCTTACCCAGTTGTTTGGAAAGCCTCCTGGAGGTGTTGAGCCTTCATATGCACACTTCCGCCCTCCCTCACATCGCGAGAGGTACACTGTGGCAAGGTGCTCCGAAATATCCTGGTGCACAATGGGGTTAACGTTGTGACAACAAGTTGAGCTTACAGTTCAACACATTGTCCCAGCAGGGCCTCGAACCAAGAGCATGCATCAAAACATGGGCTTACCCCAATGACCTCCTCTGCTTGTGGCCGCTGATTCTTTGGGCGCTCACAGTAGTTTCGGTACTCTTCAACGTCTCGAAGAGCGTAGCTGGCCACCTGCAAGTGAATTGTCAAGTTGATAATAATCCCGTCACGTCATGTTTATATTGGCTGGACAGAATGGAAACAGGCACAGGGTGCTTGCGCTGCTCTGTCCTTGGCAATCAATGTTGTTAGAAACTAGCTGACTGAGATTCCTCAGCAAAGTAGCTCACCTCAGCATCACACTTCATTTCTTTGGAGCAGGGCCTCACAACATAGAAACGCTGCAGGCATGAGGAAATCAGGCATAAGAATCAGGACTGAAACTGACATAGCAGAAAAGACCACAGAGAGAGCACAAATAACGATGAAACTTCATCGTTGTAACTGCTGGACAGAATGAAAAGGGGCGAAGCGCACCTGGCGGAAAGGCTTTTCAGGTGACCTCCAGAAGGCCTGCAGAGATGGGCACACAACGAGCAGTCGACCGCTTTCAGTTCTATTCAAGCGCCAGATAAAGACCATTGACATCGGACAAGCAATCATCTCGTGGTAACGGTGGGAGAGTCGGGTGGGGTGAGGAAAGCAGGAAGAACGTACTTGTCAACTCACAAAATGGAATAAAAAGCTTTCGGCCTCTACCTAGGTAATATACCTGCTCGCAATAAAGGACACGAGAGCCATCCTCCAAAACGGCTGCAGGACAAGAATCGAGCCTGGGACGACGAAGCATTACATAAAGAGGCAGGGAGACGAAGAATGAGTACTGGAAGAAGAACGTGAAGCCTGGAGCAAAGGAAAGAACCAGCGACTAGGAAGGTAGGGAACGGCCAGGTCTACGATTTCCGTGTCGCCCAATTACGCAGCTCAAGACAAGTTCAGGCACCTGAGATTGAAAAAGTTAGCAGGATCGCGTGCTGCTTGGTCTGCTGAAAACTGCAGGAGAATAGAATCAAATTAAGTTAGCTACTGAGTTCAGCAGATTCGACGCAGAAAAAAAGGTAAGCGAGTGAGCTACCTTTTCTCCAGTCAACAGATTAGTAACTTCGCGACAGTGATCCCTCCTAGCCCGACTAATCAATCTCTTCAATATGTACGCGCCGCCAAGCACGCACGCCGCCTTGATCATAACGCCTTGGTTCAGCCATTTAGGTCCTCCGCTACCAGAATCTTTCGAACCCTTATTGCCAACTCCTGACTCTCGCTGATCATGCTTTCCAGAGAGAGGAGGCCCAACGCCAGACTCCATCCAACCAGTAAAAACGAGAGCACGTCAGAGACGTCTCTACTCTGGCGCGAAACTCTACCCGCGACTAAAAAAACAATCTAGGGTCACAAAATCATGGACAGCTGGTCGCGGTCTTTACTGACGACTAATGGCTACTGTGAGTTTCCCGAGTCTGATCCTGATTTCTGAAATTGGCTTATCTCTCTGACTGTAGGATTTGGCTGGCACTCCAGGCTGCGAAAGGCCGAGTCATCTGCGCAGTTCGTGAGCTGTTCTGCGCGAATCACGGTCTTTCGCGAAACTTGTACATGCCAAGCGCTATTGGCTTATCTATATCGTGCGAGTTACACAAAATGGAAGAAACGAACATAAATGTCTCAGCATTTATGAAATAGATCAAACATTTGTATATCAAAAAAATGCTGAGGCAAAGTTGCACTAGATTGAGCACATTTACAGATTCACACAGCTCTTTCATTTGACCATGCTGTCAACATTACTGTACAAATTTTCGACCTTCTAGAACTGTGCCTTCCCACCTTTCCGTAAATCACTCCCACCCCTCCCTTGCATCCCACCCCTTTGTGAGCGACTACCATTCGCATTGCCACTGGACCCCCTTCCTCTACCACCACCTCCTCCTCCGTTCCTAGAATCCCTAGCACCAGCAGCACCACCACCATATTTCAATGGCACCACTGGCTTCAAGGGGTAGGTAGATCCTTCAGCATCCCATTTGTATGCAGCTCGCTCGGAGGGAGAGAGACGGTAGGGGAAGTGGCGCAGGGATGGAGGGAGAGCTGCCAGTTCAGGGATCCAATGAGCAACATAGTCGCCATTGGGATCGTATGTGGACGCCTGCATTACAGGACAGATCCAGGGAAGGAGAGATGTATTGCAAACACTCGGAGGATGAAAGAGGGAAGTACGGGCGTGTGAGTGGCACATGGGGTGCACCGTATTGAAAGAATTATGTGAGGAGCACACACACCTAGGCGGAGATCGATGACAGATGTTGGAAGCACATACCTGCTTGGGAATGCTGAAGTAACGATCCTCCCTGGGATCATTGCCCACACCTGCAGTGATACAAAGAGGGCAGGGCACACACCAGGAAAGGCAGACGGCAGAGGCCACGAAACCACTATGACACCCAAAAAGCCTCACTCCCATCATGCACTCATGCGGTCGTGAAGAGAGGGTGTTTTTGAGACGTCTCAAAAATAGAGGCCACAGAACCATTATGACACCCAAAAAGCCTCACTCCCATCATGCACTCATGCCGTCATGCCATCATGCAATGCATCTTACCTGCGTCATAAGCTGTAACCCCACCACAAGACAAGTTCCCATACCACCCTGCGCATAATCCTTATTGCTATGGACCATATCAGGGCCGTACAGCACCGTACAGTCACCAAGCGCCTTAGCTGTAACGCACCAGTGCCTTACCAACATCATACCAGTGAGGTGAATTGAGTCAGCTCAAAAGTTAGCTCCGAGCGCCTTACCAGTAAAATACCAGTGCTGAACCAGCATTGTACCAGTGTCGTACGCACTAGCACCATACCAACGCTGTACCGGCGTCACCCCATACCAGCACCGCCGTATCAGTTCCATACCAGCGCCATATGTCCAGTTGCCGTAGTTGGAAGCCGGGTCATGGTCAAGGAGGAGCGACTCAAACCACTCCGCCCCCATGCGCCAGTCCATGCCCATGTCTCGCACCAGGAATGAGCACACTATCTGGCACACGGCACACAGCACACATTTACAGATGTCTGATTAGTGATTCGGTGGGTTAGCGTAAGGGGTTATGCAGCTCGAACCACTCCGCCCCCATGCGCCAGTCCATGCCCATGTCGCGTACCAGAATCGAGCACACTATCTGTGGTATGGAGAGCACATGCATGGATGGGCGGCGGTTAATTGGGGTTACCAGACGAGTATTCAAACCACTTCGGCCCCATGCGCCAATCCATGCCCATGTCCCTCACCAGGATCGAGCACACATGGATGGTGGTTGGGAGGGTTAACAAAAGGGATTATCCACCTTGAACACTCCTCCCCCATGCGCCAGTCCATGCTCATGACCCGCACCAAGAATGAGCACACTATCTGCACCGTGCAGTGTACAGCATGCATGGTGGTGGTGGTGGTTGGTTGGTTGGTTGGTTCACACAAGGCAGGCCATACCCATGTTACACGCCAGGAATGAGCACACTATTTGTGGCACACGGCACGGATGCATGCATGCATACATGGGTTGGGAGGCTTGCTCCATTGGAGTAAACGCAATGCCTGAAAGGGGCAAGTAGCCGCACACAATACCTCGCATGCACCTCAGTACCACGCGCAACGGAGGCATATGCGAAGAAACCTGCATGCCGAACCTGTTCTATGCCGAACCTGTTCTATGCCGACCCTGTTCTATGCCAACCCTGTTCTATGCCAAACCTGTTCTATGCCGCACCTGTCGGCCTCGGTTGGACATGAAACCCGTGGCAGCAAGCTCCCTCATATTCGCATCCACCAGAGGGTACCTGGGGGGGAGATGGGGAATTGCAATAGGTTATGGAATATCACAATCTCTCTTGTAGGGAGATTTTGGGCATGGCGTTTAAAAAGGAAGCTGACTCTTGACACGTCTCAAAGATTCGCCAGGTGGTATATGGCACTGAGGAGGAAACATGAAGGAAAACTTAACACAGGCTTGTTACTGAGATAGTTGAAACTCCGGGCTCAACAAGAGCGTGTGTGAGTGTGTGTATGTGTGTGTGTGTGTGCGTGTGTGTGTGAGTGTGTGTGTGTGTGTGCATGTGTGAGTGTATGTGTGTGTGTCCACATGCCCACACATTCGCCCTCACTCACTCACTCACAAACTCACTCACTCAAGACATGCAAGCACACTCACCCCGTTCGCCCCTCCCGCCACGCGTCGAAGAGAGCTCTGTCCGTGGACCAATCTCGGCCGTTGAATTGCAGCTTGCGGGGTCCACCTGATGCGATGCGGATCGATTGGACAGGTGGGGAGAAAGGGGTTGGTAGAGAGGAGGGGGTTGTGGAGAGAGGAGGAGGTGGTGAAGAGGAGTGAGGGGTGTAGAGGAGGGGTGGGTGGAGAAGGGTGGAGGACGAGGGGGACAGAATCACTGAAGAGGAGTGCGGTGTAAGGCACATGTGGGTATAAGGCGTAGGAAGGTGGAGTGCGGTGCAAAGGAGTGGGCAACGTACCCAAGTGAAAGATGGCGTTGCCGCATTTGATGGAGAGGAAACGGAAGTAGTCCCGCCAGATGAGCTCGAAGAGCACCCTGCAGTGGTGGTGTGGAGGGGGGGCGGGTGCGGGGCATCGGAAAGGCGCATAAGAGCGAATCGGGAGCGAATTGGGAGCGAAGCGAATTGGAATTGCTGTGTTTGATGGAGAGGAATCGGCTCATCTGAAGTAGTCCCGCCAGATGAGCTCAAAGAGCACCCTGCAGTGGGGGGGGAATGCAGGGCAGCGAGCATGGCAGAGGGAGCATGAGAGCATGGACGCATGATAGATTAACCAACTGCAGCGACAAGGAGCCAAAAGTAGTCCCTCCAGATGAGCTCAAGTAGAACTCTGGGGTGATGAGAGCGTGATCGGTAGGGAGCATGAGAGGGAGCATGGGAGGGAGCATGGGAGGGAGCATGGGAGGGAGCATGGGAGGGAGCATGGGAGGGAGCATGGGAGGGAGCATGGGAGGGAGCATGGGAGGGAGCACGGGAGAGAGCATGGTAGAGAGAGCAGGGACGCATGGTGGATTACTCGATTGCAACAAGGAGGAACTGGAAGCGGTCTCTCTGGATGAACTCAAAGAGACACATGGGATGGGAGGGAGGAGGAGCAGGGGCGCATGGGAGGGGTGCATCGCATGGGAGGGGTGCATCGCACATACCAGTACGTGGACTCGTTTGCCACTCGCTCCTTCTCGTATCGCACCACCTGGTGGTGGGTGGGTGCGGGCAGCAGCACAGCACAGGGGGGTGCGGCAGAGGATCGAAGCATGTGGCGAAAGGGGGGGGGGGGGGGGGGTTGAGAATGAGCACCACTCGTCATACATAAGAATGTGGACTCATTTGCCACTTGCTCCTTCTCATATCAAAGCACCAGGCGGTGGGCGAGGGGGGTAGCACAGGCGGGTGCGGCAGGGCAGAGGAGTGAAGCATGTGGCGAAAGGGGGTGAGAGTGAAAGGGGGTGAGAGTGAAAGGGGGTGAGAGTGAAAGGGGGTGAGAGTGAAAGGGGGTGAGAGTGAAAGGGGGTGAGAGTGAAAGGGGGTGAGAGTGAAAGGGGGTGAGAGTGAAAGGGGGTGAGAGTGAAAGGGGGTGAGAGTGAAAGGGGGTGAGAGTGAAAGGGGGTGAGAGTGAAAGGGGGTGAGAGTGAAAGGGGGTGAGAGTGAAAGGGGGTGAGAGTGAAAGGGGGTGAGAGTGAAAGGGGGTGAGAGTGAAAGGGGGTGAGAGTGAAAGGGGGTGAGAGTGAAAGGGGGTGAGAGTGAAAGGGGGTGAGAGTGAAAGGGGGTGAGAGTGAAAGGGGGTGAGAGTGAAAGGGGGTGAGAGTGAAAGGGGGTGAGAGTGAACACCAGTACGTGGACTCGTTTGCCACTCGCTCCTTCTCACATCAAGGCACCTGGTGGTTTAGATAAGGCCAGCACACAACGGAAGATAGGCACACACGCACACACATGCAGCCGTTGCGGGGATGTGCTGCGATTCAATTTGATGAGCTTGCATGGGTGCGCCAGGCTTCTAAGACACAGGCAGACGCAGGCAGACAGCCATAGTGCGAGCTTGGTGCTGTAATCCAACCCCACCTAGCCGCTACACTCCCTCACCTTGCTGCACCGCAACCAACACTTCAACACCGCAGCACACACCTCTGATCTGAATGGATGTACCGAGCAGAGATGCAGCCATGAGCCAGCCATGGGGATAGCTTGGTGCTGTAGTCTGCTCCCAGCATGCCGTTGCACTCCCTGCTCTGCTCTACAGTACCTTGCTGCACCACAACCAACATCTCTCTGCACCGCACCACACACCTCTGAATGAATGTATCGAGCAGAGATGCACCCATGCGCCAGCCATGGGGATAGCTTGGTGCTGTAGTCTGCTCCCACCATGCCGTTGCGAGTCAGCTTGTACTCTTTGATGCAATCCCGCTGCCACACATACTCGTCCACCCGAGCCAGTGCTGCTGTTTCCCCGCCCCTGAACGCCAGCACACCCCTAGAGTCCTGGTATAAGGAAGACGGGGAGCAGGACGGCAAGAAATCAGTAAATCCAAGCAGCTGAATATGTCTTGTTTGTAAGCTTTAAAGCAATCCCGCTGCCATACATACTCCTCCACCCAAGCCGGTTCTGCTGACTCCCTGCCCCCTTGAGTCTTCGTTCATGGGAGTTCAGAATCAGGAAGCAGGGAGATGCAATCAATTTTAGGGTTGGCGTATTCGCTTAAAGCGTCCCCACTATACTAAATTCGATTCAACCAAGAAATGCCACACGATGCACATCCCTGAAAGAAAACGGGGAAAGAGAGCACAGCCACTGCAGAGCTACCTGTGGTGGTGGGGCGTCAATCCCAAGGTCTGCCAGAGTAGGCAGGGAGCCCAAACCGCCGATCCTGTCAACAGCTTCGGCAGAGAGGAACGGTCCGAGGCTGGCAGGCATGGCGAGGGGTGGGCGGACCTTAGCCTTGGTTTCCACCGCCTGAGGAGAGCGGAGGGGAAAGGGTGGAGCGGACGGAACCAAGGGGGAGAGGAGGACAGGGTGATCTGATCGCCTCGTTGTTTGCCTCATGATCGCATCATTGTTCGCCTCATGATCGCATCATTGTTCGCCTCATGATCGCATCATTGTTCGCCTCATGATCGCATCATTGTTCGCCTCATGATCGCATCATTGTTTTTGGCAGCAGGAGCAGCAGGGAGAGGAGGGACGACTTTTGAGACGTTTCAAAGGACAGGGTGATGGCCTCAATGCTTTTGGTTAGGAGAGGATGGAACAACCAACATTGCCTTGGGGGTTTCGGTATGGCGTTTTGATATTCCCCTTTATAGACAGACTCACTTTCCGGAACTGTGTGTAGACGTCAGGCAGGTTGGCAGGAGCGAATGGAAGATCATCCACGTGGTACATAGTCAGCCCCCATATCAGATCCAGCTTCGGGCGGCGACCGTTGGCAGTATCTTCAGCGGGCAGTTCTTGAGCTGCTGTTGGGCCTCCCGTGGCCCTCGTTATAGTCACGTTGTTCAGCGCATGCTTGAGGTTCCTCTCCACCCTGAGCTCCTCGTCTGTTGTTTCCACCTGAGCCACCACCTGGAAACTCCCAGGAAGGGAAAAGATTCCAGAAGTAGAGTTAAAGGTATGTTTGACCAACTGCTTCATCTCATCTCATGAATGAATGAACACAGAGCAGGCGGACTGGTTTTGAGGCGGCTCAAGATTTTGTGTTGAGTCGTCTGGTATTGATGGCGCTCAAAACGTTCGACCAACTGATTCATCTCATGGTGAATACGCATTTGGTTTGGACACACACAGCACAGGCACACACAGCACACACACACACGTCCATATACACAGAAATTCCAGAGCTCACCAGGTGCGCGTTGAGAGCCGCCACCAAGGCGGGCAGCACAATTTCAGGCGGCCCCACCCGCACAACCAGCTCCGACCCCATTCCCCGCAGGCGCTGCCTCAGGTCCGCCACGCTCTCTAACAGGAAGCGCGCTCGGTGGGCTGGTGTTTGGGGGGGGGAGTGAGGGGGAAACCAAGAAAGGGGGATTCTCACGAGCACGTACGACTCCATCCCCTACAGGCGTTGCGTTGAATCTGCCACGCTCTCCACCAGGAAACGGGCGCGGTGGGCTGGTGAGGGGGAGAGGAGGGGGGGGGGGGGGGGGGGGGGGGGGGTGGGGGGGGGGAGGGGGGTTAGGGGGGAGCCCAAGAAAGGGGGATTCTCACGACCAGGTCCGACCCCATCACCTGCAGGCGCTGCGTTGAATCTGCCACGCTCTCCACCAGGAAACGGGCGCGCTCGGTAAGCTAGTGGTGGGAATGATAGGTCAGCCCCGTTTGACTTCGGGTTAAAGTGCTTTGAAGGGCCGTATTCCAGAGACTCACGTACGGCCGTGCCAATGCCAACGTGATAAAAGTAACATTTTGAGACGTCTCAATATGTTACTTCAATCAAGAGTATCACGTCCGGCCGGGCCAAGAATAGTCAAGTGCTGCCCACCCGCCCATACAAGGCAGTTCAGCCACCCCCTCTTTTCCACCAACATAGAGAAATGGAAGGAAAAACATTTTCTTATGCGTAGAACGCGCACCTGCCATTTTCGGGAAGCCGAAGTGGTGTGTGGTGGAGAAGCAGCGCGGGTCGAAGCAGAAAGGAGGTGACATTTAAAGTCGACAAGTCGACTCAAAAGTCCCAATCGGTGTGCATTTAGCGCACCTGCCATTTTGGGGAAGCCGAAGTGGTGCGTGGTGGAGAAGCAGCGCGGGTCGAAGCAGTAAACGGGCACCGCGATCGCCGCCGCCTGCCACGCGCGCAGCAGCGCCTCGTTGTCGTGCACGCGCAGATCGCTGCGCAGCCACACGATCGCGATCCCCTCTCCGCGACCCTTCGCGTCCGCCGCCGCCGCCATTCCCGCAGCTTCCGCCGAGGTACGATCCGATACGAAATCTGTACTATTAGAAGTACTACCTTTAGCTAAAAAGGAGCCGGAAGTTGCTGCGAAGGTGCTGACTGCGCGTGACGTGGAATGGGTGCCTCTACGAGCGGGATTTCTGGGGAGGAGGTTCGATGCGATTAGCCGGGACGAGACGCAAGACGCTGGTGCTGCAACCTTGGGAATGCCGACCGTTGCGCCTGAACTCTGCAGCACCTGATAGTAGTTAAGTCTTGCGCGGGACAATCCTGGTAGACAACAAAGCACGATTCGGCCACACTCTGTTACGTTTTGTAATGGTTTAAGCGTACTAGCTGTGATCAGCGGCAGCTGACGTGGAGCGCTTGAATCAAGCTGCCGACGTGGCGATCGACTCGGCAACAACGGGCTTCCGTTATTCCCGGAAATTCGAGCGGAATGAGCGGAACTGTGCAGCGTGGCGCTAACAGCGGATGTGACGGCGGCGAGTGCGGGAGGGAGAGGTCGGAAAGGCGGTGGGACGAGCGGGATAATACTCATGGTGCTTCTAGAGAGTTTTCTTGGAGGTACGAGAACTTGGCGCCATTCGCGGTTTGTGAATGAAGCAGTTCAGCCGGCGATCATGCGCAGCCAGTGCGCGGCGAATGCTTTCCGTCCCGTATCGCGCGTGGCGCGAATGGAAGCATTGCGTAAGGAGACGGCTGCCATGCCAAAAGCCTTGAGTGACCATTTGACTCGACTCGGAAGTAACCCGTGGCCAGAATGTTGCAAGCAATGCAACGTAAGAATTTCATTTGGCAGCGGAGCGCGTGGCGTGGAATTGGCCACGACAGGAGGCAAGCAGCGTGGCGCCATGGATGCCACTAAATTCTTTCAGATCAGAAACACCTGCATCTGGAGAAACACAAGCAATGCATTCCATTCCGACGTAAGTCCTTGTACCCCCTACAGTCCTCGTATTCTGGCTAAATACACTATCCAGGTATTCAGTGGGTAAATATAAAGTCGATGTACGTTTAGAAATACTGCAGTGCTACCATCGAAGATAATTAATAATCGAATGTGATCTGAGAATTTAAACCATTCTGCCAATAATCCGTCCTCTTTAGCACTAGTCTGTTAGACCCTTGTATGCACCATCACTCTGTTTACCGCAATTTTTTTGTGAATCCAACGCTTATGGCACTAATGAAGGAACACATGGCGTGGATTTACACATCAGACCTACTACCCGTCGAGTGGAGCCATCAGTGGTGTTGACTCCAGGGGACCGCAATTGACAACCAGAACTATTTGACCCAAAACAAGTCACGCCCTTGCCTATCTGGCACACACCCCGACTAACCTGATCCAGTGGTTCGGATGGGTGCGGGGATGGATGACTCACGGGTTTGGGGCCTAGAAACTAAGGCCCTGTTCGACTTGCGCATCAGGGTTTAGGCTCAGGTCCAGCACAGGTTCGTTGGTGCTGCTTGGGTACCAGGGTTGGTTCGGGTGTGGTGCTCGAACGAGAGGAAGTGGTTTGGGGTTTGTCAAACTGGTTCTATTGGTAGGTGTTCGACTTTTACAGAGCGGGCAATTGCGTTGGTCAAGTTAGTCAAACTCGGGGGGTGTTCAACTTGGCGGGCCCCTTATTCTGCCCTAACCCAGCTGGTGCTGCCCCGCATCAGCTGGTGCGCGCATGGTGCCAGTTCTCCACGGATGCACCACGCGCGCATCAGTGGTGCGTCGGTGTGCCAGGAGAGGAGGGTTCTAGGAACGCACATTCGGTTCCCGAACCTGGGGCCGAAAAGGGTATTCAGCTGGCATCATGCACCAGTTCGCTTTGGTGCTCATGCGCCTATCCCAGACCCGAGTCAGCAGATCCCAGACCCGAGTCAACACTTGTCCGCTTCTCTCAGAAACTTCGAGGGAGCACGTTTTACTGTAGCTGGTACCCGAGCCTGTGCCGACGCGCCAGTCGAACAGGGCAGAAAGTTGCACTCTCGGTTTGGAGCCTTTGCGATAACCTTCCCGCGGTCCAATACTGCGCGTGCTTCCGAACTTCCTTCCGACTACGCCGTGTATTATGTCAACCGGTCCCCTGGCCTTCACAGGGCGCGCTATGCCCCGCGATGTGTCAATTCCCACTCGTCATGACGTGACTGGCTGACTGGCCGCCAGAAGTGCTTTCTCGATGTGACAAGAAGGTTTTTGTCACCGCTGCCCGCCGTTGAAAGATGGAAGATGGTGCGTCACTGCGTCCATTTTTCATAGTGCGCTGCGCGTCAAGTCAACTGGCAGCTGATTGGCGGGATAATGTCGCAATGGTGTTTCGTGGCCTTCTTGCTGTGTCATCGAAAAGAGAGCTCGAAGTCGCTTTCGTCAGTGGTCAACCACATCACAGAGTCTAGCTCGGTTACCCACCCGAGTTTCGCCAGTTTGCCAATAGAACGGTAGAATCTGGCTGATCAGGCAGATTCCGTTTGCAGAATCATCAGCAACCAAACCAAACGGGCTCGAGGAGGATGTGCGGTTGGGATCTTCACGAGGACTGACCTGACCAACTTGCTGTTGACGGACTTTTCGAGGAAGAGAGATAGGTTGGGAACGTTTTTCTTCGGTAATAGGCTGCGGTGGGAAGACTGATGCCAAGTTCAAGCGGGCAGCACGATTTGTACGCCTTGCGGGCAGCACCATTATTGCAGGTTGCGGGCAGCACCCGCCGCAAACTGGACAGGACACCATCGCGGTCACCATTATTGAGTTCCAACTTGGCGTGAGCGCTGGTGGTTGGTTTCTCTTCTCACACCCCAATAATCTCGCCTGTCTCTCGCTCGCCTTGCTGCTCCTCTTTCCTCCTTGCTGCTCATCGCTTTCCTTCCTCCCCTCACCTTTCCCGAATCCAGTCCTCCACTTTACAACCGTAACGTCAACTTGCCCATTTCGTCAGTTCGATCATCTTTCTTCGTCTTCATCATCTCCTGCACACTACACCTTCGCGTTTCGTCGCCTTGATTCTCTCTCTCTCTCTCTCCAGCACCACGCTGGATTTTTTCTCGTCGCGCATTAGGGAAAGTAGCACCAGACGGAGTGAATCCTGACGCCGTCACCACTGAGCAACACCCCGTCGAACGTACTTCGGCACCTGACGAATAGATTAGTTTCGGACCGTTTCTTTAACTTCGAGCCAGAAGGCCTAGATTTACGATGTCCATCGAAGATTCACTTTCCGCTTCCATAAGCTTCTTCGATTTGAGCCGTCACCTCGTGCACAACCGGAATCCGGCGTCTACAAGCAACAGAGGACCTATCATGTCAATGTCAATTCTGACAGCTGTTACCACTGCTGCCAATGTCGTCTTCGATGCTGATGCGAGCGTTCTTGGCTGCGGATGCACGCATAAGCCGCCAGTACCGCACCTGCCGAACCTCCTTCCGGCGACGGAAACAGACAGAACCTCATCAGCGAACGTGACATCATGTGCGAGTCGCGAAGCCCTATCGCAGAACCTTTCAGTACAAGCAGCAGCAGCAGCGCCAATAGCCGAACCTTGTTGTGTCGAGGCGCCTCAACCCCGGGCGTCAGACGTGGCAGGAAGCTTATTCCAATCTTCAGCTGCAGCTGCGACGTCGCCATATCATCGTCGCCAGCATCGCGCGGCGGTAGCCTTTGTTCGCGACTGCCTTTGGCAAGCGCTACAGGTACTACTGTGGTACCCCTACGAATTCGCCCCTCCCTGGTACTGTGGTACCGCTACAGGTACGCTTGACACAGCGTTCCCCCACTCCCTGCGATCCCTTCTTTCCCGTATGCCCGAGATTTGCGCGCTTACCCCACTTCCCACGTCCCCTCTCCCCTCCTCCGTCCCCCCCGTACCGCCTCCTTCCCGCGCCGACACGCATTCTCTCGTGCTCCTGGCAGGCGTGTTTGGAGCTCTGCTGGATCGCTTTGGTCATCGTCGTCTTCGTTATAGGCTGCTCGCTCTCGCGTCGTATCGAATCCATGCGCGCTTCTTGTAACAGGGCTGGACTACAAGTCGCTCTCAGCGAGGTGAGCCGAGGAGAGGTCGAATTCGCCGCGCATCCCGCCGTTCAGTACGCTGAGCCTCCCGCCGTGATTCTCGGACCCCGTTCACCAAACAAGCTGGAGGGCGATTCTCCGACATCGTTGGATTGTAGTTTAGGTAAGCCGCATTCCATGCGTGTAATTCTTCCTCGCTTACCCTTGTCACTTCAGCTGAAAGGCCTAGTAATTCCCAGATTTCCTGGATTTTCCCCGTCAGGTAACTCGCTACTTAGAACCTGCCTGAATCCCTCCTTGCTTTTATGAATTCGTTCCTCTCGGAGAACTTGTCCTTCCCCTCTTTCTGCCAACTCCCTTCTTCTTCCCACTTTCTTTCAACGCCCCTCTCTCCCACGCCACAGGGCCATCATATGCACTTGATTTGATACTCCCACACATCTGGAGCCAGTCCGCTTTGCGCAGCAACAGCATATGCGACCACATCCACGGCAACTGTAGCAGCATTCGTGCGCCAGGTGTGCTGGATAATAAACGCAATACTCGCAGGGAGAATTCGCTTCCGATGGTACGCGCCGCGTCTGCCGTGCGAGGGTTTTTGCAGACAGACTGTGACAGTCGCATCCAGCGCAACCAGTGCAAAGAGGGGGATGCTGACGCCAGCTCGTTGTATGAAGGGATGAACGGGCTCTCACACACATTGGAGACCGAGGTGGGTTCTTGAGGTTTTCAGGTCTCCAAGGCTTCTAGACAGTAGGGTGTTGACAGCCCAAGAGGTGAAATTTTAACAGAAGAACAAGAAGAAATAGAAAATTAGAAGATACAGATTGATTTGTAGCTAGTAGGTTTCATCTTGTGTTGTTTTTCTACGCCCTTCCCTTTTGTGCACGCCCATCCAGGTGCTGCATTATCAGCAGGAAGCAACGTCAGTATCAGCCACAAGGCATCCACTGATGATCGCAGAAGAGGGGACGCGGACAGAGGATCCCAAGACAGGAGGGGAGGGGTTAGAATGGAACAAAGATGTAGGAAAGGGACTGCAGGCTGAAGAGGAAAGGGGGAGCAGGAATGTCCCTTACCTGGGACTGCTGATGAGCTCTTCCAGTAACGAGTCGCATCCACGAGAGGAGGAATTCATGCGAACTGCCAGGAAAGGTCCTGAGGAGGTGCAACAAGGAGATGGGATGCTGTCGGATAAACAAGCAGGTGGGGCTGGGAAGCACAAATCGTTACATGAGGGATGGGCAGTTCTTGGAGAACCTCAGCCATTGAAAGCAGTCAGCATTTGATCAGATGTCAATGGTTAGTCCGAGTTGTACAGCTTGTTGTAAGGTGGAGCTCGTCAAGGAGGTGGAGGATTAGAATCATCCTCAATGCCAATAACCCCATAATGGAGGTGATACATATTGCTGCTGTGCTCCTCTTCACGTGTGGCAGCTATGCTACTGATACACTGTCAGGTCAGAGAGATTCGCAAACTGTTTCATTGTGTGCCTGAGGTACCACTTTGAGAATGATGAGGGTTGGTTCGAGAACGAGAAGGTGCATGAAGTTAGTGCCATTTAATGTTGAAGATAATTGGGAAGCTTCGAAATGTATATAGAAATTTTGAATAGCTATTTTGATTTTCCATACTTTGGTATTTTAGACGGGTGTGATGGAAAAACTGAGAGAAGGTTCTATTGGGTGATACAATGGTGTCTTGGTGTGAACTATCATCAGTTACCCAATCACCCTATTTCTGCTTTCTATAAGACATATTCGTTATTAAGTTAGCGAAAGGACTTGAAACGGCCGAGTACACTACACTATGGCCTTCAGGTGACTGTTTGTTGTACGGTTTCAAAGTGGCTGCTTGCTGTTGCTCTTCCAGGCAACTGGCACTGCCGACAGGCGACCGTTCTCGCATGTGATTGGCTGAATTCACTAGAGCGGAAACGCACGGACATTTCTCTGTTGCGAGCCGCGGAGACGAACAGATACTTTCGTGCTGCTTTTCGCAGCACTGCGTTAGACTGCAGTCTGAAACGCGCGAAACGCTGTTGGCGACTGTTACACCACCGATGATTTCTCGCCCTTCGGCTGAAAGAGGCATCAGTTTTCGTTATCTATCTGCTGCTCTCCTCCAGACCTCCTGCTCCCTGGGGAAAGACCTGGGAAGTCTGGTCCGTGATGGTTTGGGGTGGGATGGGATGGGATGGGATGGGATGGGACCCACCCAACTTGCTCCCACACCAGCGCCGCTTGCCATGGCTTCTGGCCCTGCAGACTCCTTTTCGACTATGGATATGCCTTTCTCACTAATCTCGACTCGACTCTCCACCAATCACAGCCGTAGTCTTCCCTGACTCTAACGTCCGTCTTATCAAATATGTATCAGGCTGGAAGCAAACTCGAAAACTCGTCCTTTCCCACGTCTTGTGGAGTGCCAGTGCTGTATTCGTTCCGCTGTCACTGATTAGACAACGACTTTCCTGTGGTACACCAACCTAGCATTGTAGACCGCGAGCCGTCATTTCTCTAACAAGCCCTCGTTCAGATCCGGATACTTTCACCCGTCCACCATGGCGCAGCGACTTATCCATCCCGCAATCCTCCTCCGCTCCCTGCTCCTCCCGCTGCTCCTCTCGTCCCTCCTCGCCTCGCTGGCGATTCTTTCGGCCCGCGCGGGAAGCCCGGGTGATGACGAGGCGGCGCTGATCGCGTTTAAACAGGCAATCCAAGTGGACCATCTCAACGTCCTCGAATCCTGGACGTCCGATCGCCCCGTGTGCTCCTGGGAGGGCGTCTCCTGCCGAAGCGCCGCTCCTCAGCGCGTAATCGGCCTGACCATCTCGCAGGGCTTCCTCGAAGGTTCGCTAACGCCGGAGATCTCAAAACTAGACCAGCTGAGGAAGTTACACGTGGACGGCGGGATGCTTATGGGAAAGATTCCGCCGCAGGTGGCGCAGCTCCGCTGGTTGACGAGCGTTGACTTGAGCAGCAACCACCTGACTGGCGAAATCCCTCCCAGCTTCTCCCTCCTGAGCAACCTGCGCAATCTCGCCCTCCGTTCGAACAATTTCTCAGGGGCAATCCCCCCGGGGATATTCCTCCTCCCGAAACTCGAGACGCTCGCCCTTGATATCAACAACCTGACGGGTGCGCTGCCCGACGGTCCCGGCAGCTACAGCCCGAGCCTCGTGTCCCTCAGCCTCGGCGTCAACTACCTCTCCGGACCTGTTCCCAAGGCTCTTGGCGACTTGCCGAACCTGGTTCAGCTCGACCTGCACCAGAACTCGTTTTCCGGACCTATTCCGCCGGAGCTCGGCGCGCTTACGAAGCTGGAGTACCTCGATATAAGCAGTAACCAGCTCACTGGTGGTATACCACATGCGCTGGCAGGGCTGTCGTCGCTTCAGGCGGGTGTTTTCTCAAACAACCAGCTGAGTGGCGTGGTTTCGCAGCCTTTTCTGGTCGGAATCGCGTCCACTATAGACGTCCTCGATGTAGGCAGGAACGCGTTTACAGGCTCGATTTCGCGGTTTGCGTTGTTAACGAATGCGGTGTACATCGAGCTGAGTAACAACAAATTTGTGGGGGGAATCACGAAAGCGTTCGGCGCAATGCCGAACCTGCAGCAGCTGGGGTTGTCCGATAATGAACTGACAGGTGGCATTCCGGCGGGAATTACGGAGTCGAGCAGCCTCGTCGTGTTCTCCGCGGATCGCAATAAGCTGAGAGGTGCGTGGTCGAGGGGACCCCATGGGGAAATGATGAATCCTGTGGGGGATGTTGAGGGGAGGGGATGGGGGAAGGGCTGCACACATACATTTGGCACTTGTTTCATGGGGCTTGTGCTGTGAGCACCAGGGTGAGATATTGGGGTGGAAGTGGGGGGAGAGAAGGGCAGGACCAGGAAGAGCCTGAGGATGGGGTTATGTAACTATTTTTCTCTGTGCTGCATCAGTTCGGCTCATTTGTTTTGGTTTGAATGTCTCCAGCACTCTGTTTCTCACACTCCTCCATCCTACCGTACTTTCCCCACTTCCCATTACAGGAAGCATCCCCCCCTTCCGCTGCACCAACACCGGATTCATGGCTCTCACCGTGTCTGGAAACTCCTTCCATGGAGGCATCCCCCACAGCCTTGCCGGCTGCAACAGCAGCCTCTACGTGCTCGATGTCAGCCACAACAACCTCTCAGGCCCAATCCCTGCCTTTGTCGGGGATTTAGTTGAGTTACGGAATTTCTCTATTGCTTATAACAACTTCTCCGGAGGCGTTCCTCGCTATATGGGGTCTCTCGCCAATTTGGTGTCGCTGGACCTGTCATGGAACAACCTGGAAGGGCCCCTGTCGTCCTGGTTCGATATGGTGAAGCTTCTTGAGGACCTTCAACTTGCAGGAAACAACCTGTCTGGTCGAATCCCTTATACGTTTACCCGGTTTCCCAGGACATCGTTTCAGCCTGAAAATACTGGGCTCTGTGGACATCCTTTGCCAAAAATGTGCCCTCCACGCATTATGGACTGACCGAGAGGGGGAAAGGGGCATGTTCTTAGTAGGTGATGATAAGTATGTTCGCACGTGGATGAGATTTTGTGTATACGTAATGCATTATGTGTACGTAGTAAGCATTTTGCACCATAAACATGTGTACTCCATGTTCGTCCACAAATTGTCACGTTTTGTAGGGAATGATCGGCCTTCCTTCGTCTTTAGTTTCCAGAACAATGTGTTTTGCATAATAGTTTCATGCTTTGTAGATACGCGATAACGGTTCATGCCCATAGTGATGTGTAGGACCTTCATATCAGACCATCCCATTGGTCAGAAGCAGTTCAGTTAACCAATCACGGTAGCCGCATTACCCAGGCTATTCACTCTCTCCGCCGCAACCCCCGCCAGCGCAGACTGCTGCTCAGCCGTCAATCAGACCAGACAATCCCTAGCCGTTCAACACCAAAATCCAAAGAAGCATCCACCAGACCAGCCAACCCCTAGGCGCTCCTCTGTAGTTCATTGCGTGGGTCTGTTACGCAGCTCGTGCGTTGACCTGACAGCTGGCAAGCCTGATCGGTGAACAAAAAGGCGAAGCGATTCATTAGCTCGAGGCCGGTAACAAGAACTACCCGCAGCATTTTGCTGGTCCTGGAGAATAATTCATAACGAAAGCACTTAGTCTCGTCCGTGCATGGTCTCGCTGATCGCACCCCTCGTTTTCAGAAAATAACAGGCATTCAACCTCGGCACTGGCATAACTCCTTGACTCAGATTTGCACGTGGTCCTATTGAGGCTGGTCCATCGTCCAATCTATCCGCCATGGCTCTCGCGACGACGCCCTTAGTGACCCGGACTGTCGCTCTTTCAGGTCAGCCATCCGCTCTACCTCTCACACGTAGATCATGTTTTGTTCTGCTCGTACATTGGTGTTCCAACACACCGTGCAGATACGTACTGCGTGCATTAGCTCAGATTTTCCAGCCCATTCAGGGCCTCATGAGTTCATGGAGATGAGTTAGATATTTCCATTGCATCCACCCCTCATCCAGCGTCCCACTCCCTCCTTCGTTCCCTCCACCCGACCGCAGGACCTTCCTCCCTGGTTCCAGCATTGTTGCACCTGACTCAGTCAAGCGCGCCAAACGTGTCTCGTAGAACCTGCAGAGATTACCATGCCATCCATAAACCAGCACCGACCGTTTTCCGCGGATCTGTCTCAGCCACTCCCCTGACCTCCATCTGCCTCCCCCGCTCTGCGTCTGTTGCTGCTTCCACCACTGCCAAGGCTGCTACCTCCACTGCCAAGGCTGCTGCCTCGGCCGTCGCCGAGCCTGCGCAGGAGCTTCGGGGTGCTGGACCAGTGGTGGTGGTTGATAATTATGACAGCTTCACTTACAACCTCTGTCAGGTAAGCTGGCTTCGCGTCCAGGTGGGGTTCCCCTTTCCCTCTGCCGAACTACCCAGCCAGCTTGCCTCTTTCTCATCAACAGTATTCTCGGATGCGAAAATCAGTAAAACGCTGTCTTTCCAACTGTCTCTTCTCCACAAAGCGGGTGGTCGCCTCTTGACATTTCACGGGGTGTTTGTTGTGGTGGTTGCGTGCGCTGTGATGTGCTGTGAGCAGTACCTGGGCGACCTGGGGTGTGAGCACGTGGTGTATCGTAACGATGACATCACCATAGACGACCTGCAGAAGTGAGTGAGATGCCATGCCACGGAGACATGGCCACCAATGATGATGCATGCAGAGAGCAGGCTGACACGCTCTACTTCGTGCATGCGATCCACACCCGAGTTCTATGTATGCTTCTTCCAAGGCACCTATTCATCTTTTAACTGATTTGAGTATGCCTTCCCGTCCCGTCCATTGCTCCTGCTCCCTCCCCACATTACCTTCTTCCAGAATGGATCCCAGGGGCGTGCTCATCTCTCCAGGCCCTGGTAGGCCCTATGATATCCCTGCTGCTGTCAAGTCCCGCATCAGATAATAGCTGGTTTCTTTGGCGCATTGCTGCTCTGCTCTTGTGTCATGTTTGACTTGAATTCCAGCCTCGATCTTTCCCAGCTGTTTCACATGCGTTTAAAGTCTTTGAACTTGCTCCTACCCGTGTTTCAAACATCATCCCACATGATCCCCACCCACAGCACACGTATGCACAGCATATACTCTTGACATCCTCAACTCGTGTTCATGATATCCATATAATTCCTAACTCACACGCCCCCATTTCGAACGCATAGCACCATTCCCCTTGCCAACTTCTCTGCACCATGGCACCCCTTTCAAACCACCAGGCACGCCAGACGACTCGGGCATATCGCTGGACGTGGTGCGGCGCCTGGGCCCCACTGTGCCCCTTTTTGGCGTCTGCATGGGGCTGCAGTGCATGGGGCAGGCGTATGGAGGTACGTAGAGTCCGCTGCTATGGGCTTGCAGTGCATGGGACAGACATATGGTCGGCTGTCTGGGTTAAATGCATGGGCAGGCTGATAAGGCGAAACGCTCAGTCGGTATGGTTCTGCGTGTTGGGTCGGTGGTCTCAGCTCAATCCTAAACCCTAGAACCCGACCCTGACTGAGCAGGTCGCATCCTTTTCAACCTTCAGTGCTGAACCCGCAACCATGCTTCTATGCCACCATCCCGCAGCTTGAAAGCCCCGTCTTGGGTTTACCCTCGACTTAACACCTTCAACTGTACACATACCAATACCAATACAACCGCACACCATCCACCCCGAACCGTGACTCTGTGGCAGGGCGCATAGTGCGGGCGCCCGGGGGCGTGATGCATGGCAAGACGTCACCCGTGCTGCATTCGATGGCAGACAGTGACTCAGGGCTGCTGGCTGGACTTCCCAGGTGGGTGAGCATGAGGATGGGGAAGGGCTGCTGGCTGGACTGCCAAGGTGGGCGTGACGGGGAGAGACTTACAGTGGTAGTGTGGTGACTGGCAGACGTATTTTATTGCGCATTCTTCATGTCAGCTGCCTAAGTCCACCAACCAAGCCCAAAATCAACTCAAATCGGCGAGCTAACCACTCCTGAAGTGACGCAGAGCATAAAGACAACTTTGTCTCCACCCCAACCAAACCACTCTGCGCCCCACAATTCCCTCCCTCCTTTTGCAACCAGCCCCTTCACTGCATGCCGGTACCACAGCCTCATGATTAACAAGGACTTGTTCCCTGGGGTCGAGCTGGAGGTGACTGCCTGTCCTCTGATCCGCTCCCCAGGACCACCTTCAACAAGTCCCCTTTGCTCCCCAACTCCCACCCTTCCACCGTCAGCCCCTTCACTGCATGCCGGTACCACAGTCTGGTGATTGAAAAGGACACATTCCCTGAAGACGAACTGGAGGTGACTGCTTGGACGGAGGATGGGCTTGTCATGGCCGTGCGACATAAAAAGTACACCCATGTGGAGGTGAGTGAGTGGGCGTGTGATTCAAAGGGTGTGAGTATGTTGAAGTCAACACACTCTCTCCTGACCTCAAGGATGGGCTTGTTCTGGCTGTGCAGCACAAGAAGTACACCCATTGCCATGCCCACCTTGTCCCCACATAACCTGCTTTGCATCCTCCCTTCTCACCCTCTCTCACTTCTCTCCCTCCTCCTTCTCCCTGATGTGTCCCCTGCCTCTCACCCCTCTCACACCTCTCCCTCCTCTCCTTCCCCTCCCTCTCCACACACCAGGGAGTGCAGTTCCACCCAGAGAGCATCATCACGAGCAATGGCAAGGAAATAGTGGCCAACTTTCTCAAGACTATGGATCGCTACTGGGCACAGTAGGACATATTAAAGCATTTTTGTTGAGGTGCCCTGAAACGCTATAATTTTGCAAACAGTGCAGCACCAGCTTCGGAAATCCTGCATTTGATGCGGTGGGGAAAGTTGTACAAGCACATGCCATCTTTTTTTGTTTTTTGTTTTTTTTTTTTTTTAATGTGAAAGCTTATACACAAAAGAGTACAAGCAAAACACAACAGTCGTAACTGTGTCTGTAGGGCTCAAGCCAGGCGGGAACCTAGCCCTCCCCACGAGGCTATGGTGGTTTTGTGAAGGTCCTCGGGTTCGTCCATATGGACTGGAAGCCATCCTGCCACCTCAGCCCTACTGCACCGTTGTCACAGATCCGCTTCATGACATGTGCCTCGTCCTCTGCCAAGTTCCACCTCGCCCTATCTCTTCGTGCCCGCTTTCTAGGACTGCTACAGTAGATCCTTACATGTTTGTTGAATTCCACGTTAATTTTCCGAAGCACCTTCCGAGCCAGAATCTTCCTTGTTTTCTGCAGTGACACATCACACCCCAACCAGATCTGATGAACTGCCACCGCCACCAATGTTGCCTCCGGAAAACCGGACCTCGTCTCCTCCTTCCCGAACAGCAGGTCTGCCAGCTGTTCCACGTGTCTCGTCGGCTGCATCATGCCGAGCGCTGACTTGACAGCAAACACCACCGGCGCGACACGCGAGCACTCCAACAAACAGTGCTCCAACGTCTCCTTCTTTCCGCAGAGTGGACAAGCGTCCCCCCCTCACAGGAACGGAACTCTCTCCCCCACCTGGAGGTTCAGGTTCTGCACCCGGAGCAGCACGTCCCGCGCACGCAGTGGGGTGACCAGGGAGTCTCTGATGCGCCTCCCCCTTTCCCAGTCAATCTTCCTGCCCGCCCGAGCTTCCCAGCTCGCCCTCTTCGCCTCTACCGCTTCCACGTTCTTGCTCGGCTCCCTGAGGCGCTTTAGCGGGGCCACCTTGTCTTCCTCAACCAGGGGCGATCCCAGCAACCGCGCCCTAGCATCCCCAAACTCCCTCACTACCCGTGCCTTGGAGAGCACCACAGCCACCACGCTGTCACACCCCAGCACAATTTTGACCTTCCATGCCGTTCGCTCCCCTTTCCCGTCCAAGCCGCTTAGCTCGACTTTCCTCCCCATGCACGCGCTGATCTCCCACAGACACCGTTGACCTCCCGAAAGCTTGGTGCACACCACCGATGACGCAGCTGCAACTTCGTCTGCCGTCAGCGGCGCCAGCAGCCACCTCCTCCGTTGCTCTGGAGCTGCCACGAATGCCTTGAGCGCCATCTCTGCTTCCTTTTTGCTCCTCAGCTCCCTTGTCAGTGTTTCTTTCGACTTCAGAACCACCGTGCCATCCCACTTCCGTAGAACCATGTCCCGCATCTTCCACTTTCTCAGCTTTTCAGTGCTTTTCTGCCCACCAAACGGAGCGCTCCCCCGGTGAATAATCCATTTGTTGAAACAAAGGAATTCCTCCGCCACCTCCCATCTCGACGACGCTTCTTTCACCTCCACCACTGTCGACTTGATCACCGCTTTACAAATTCTCGCCCACCTCCTGCTTTGTATCAGCCCCCCTTTCAGCACCGCCTTGTGTGCATACAGCGTCGCCCACCCCAGGGGCAGACCCGCCACGCGTTCCGCCAGCCCACGTCGCAAGGAGCACTCTTGCAACAGCGTCAGACCCGCACACCGTAAGGCCACGCTGTCAATTCTTCCACGTGGGTTACCCCCAGTCCCCTTAGCTCTCTCGGCGCGTAAATCAGCCCGCCGCTCCAAAGTCTGAAATGCTTTTCCGTATCCGCGTTGTTTCCTGACAACAAGTTCTCAATAAAATTCTCCACCCTCCTCCACAGTGTTAGAGACTAAGGACGGAGTCTACGAAGATTAGGTGCCTAAATTTCTCAAAATCGTTGGCTTAGAGTTCTGGACAGAAAAGTCGCGCTCGCAAGAAATGTCGTCGACGAAAAACGCACAGTTAAAACTTCACCAATTTCAGATATGTTGTGGCTGTAGTTCGTGGCTACAATTTCCAAGTTGAATCGTACGAAAAAGTGTAGCATTTCTTGAGTTATCAATTTTGGCGCACTAGGGGGTATGCTGCCATGGAATCTTAACTCAATCACAATAGTCTCACAAGTTCACAATTACTACACAAGAGAGTTAGAGTGGCAATAAACCAGGTGGGATGGGATGAGGAGGACGAGAGGGAAGGTCCCAAGAGAGTCCCCAACCAAGGAAACCCCATGCCACACAATTCCCCTCGCCATAGGCAACCCCACTTTCACTTTTGTCACTTTCCCAACCCATGCCATCCACCTTGCCCAACTTGGCCACACTTGCCAACCTGGTTTGGCTCCTCCCAACCACTTGGCAGCATCTACAGTGATGTTGACGAATTTCCCAACCCCCCAAAAGTCTGTACCTCTTATGGAGTCAACCCCACAACTTCCCATAGTCACCACAACCAAATATCAAAAGCATACGAACTTCCAACGTTCGTAACTTTCTTGTTCGTGCTCAGATTGAAGCGATACTTGGTTCGTCGGAAAGCTCTTGAGCAAAGGAGTCACTTCAGATATCTGCTCAAGCCAAATAACATTCACATACACTCAGAAAATCCAAACCACAGAAAACACAAATTCTTGCGCACGCTCACACCACGCATGCAACGCACGAACATATGATGGGAGGCACACAGACGTGAATGCATGTGATTGCATCACACAACACACAGCAGGTCATCTGGGGGATATACCTGCGCTTGGAAGAGAAATATCGGGATGATATAGCTGTTGATAATGGTGACTCTCGCGCCCGTCGTCAAGTACTTCACCTGCCATTTGCTCAGTTCCCCTGCCGCCCTATCGAAGGCATTTTCCCACGTAACCTCTGCGTCCCTCCCAGTTGTTATCCACACCCCCAACAGCCTTTCCGCAGTCTTTTCCTCCACCCAGTTGTAGCCTAGACCAGCCGGCGCCGGTTCCCCCACGTTCTTCCCCAGCGGCAGCACGGCAGACCTCCCGGTGTTCACCTTCAGCCCTGACATTGCTGCAAAGTCTTGAAGTACCGTTCCTGCTTCCGACAACTGTGCCTCTCCTTCCAGCAGAAGCGTGGTATCATCAGCGTACCCCACGTACGCGAGCCTTTCGCAGCCCTTCTCTCCAATCCCCAGCTCCCTCTTCTCCACCAGACGGCTAAGAGGCTCCACCGCGCACAAGAACAGGTACGGTGCTAGCGGGCACCCTTGCCGCACCCCTTTCCGCATCTGAATCTAATCTCCAACCCACCCATTAATGCACAACCTCGTGTGTACATCCATGTGCAGAGACTAAATCCACCCCACGAACCGCGGGGGGAAACTGAGCTTGCCAATCGTCTCCATCATGAAACCCCTCCGTACCGAGTCGTACGCCTTCTCGAAATCGATGAGGAGCAAATACCAATCACTGCCTTCATTCTGGACCGTCTCGATCATATCGGCTACCAGCGACACCGCATCTGCCAGCCGCCTGCCAGGTAAAAACCCGAACTGCTCCTTAGAAATCACTTGATCCAGTACTGCTTTCATCCTGGTCGCCACCACCTTCGCCAGAATTTTGTAGATGCTAGTCAGTAGCGTTATTAGCCTGTAGTTTCTTGTAGAGCAGATTCGTAACTGCTTCATTCGCCACATCCGGCAGTTTCCCTAACGACACGAAGTCTTCAACCATGCTCATCACCGGCCTCTTCAGCAAATCCCACTGGTGCTGGAAAAGCTCCTTTTGGATACCGTCGCCGCCTGGCGACTTGCCGTTGGCCAGCTCTCGTATAGCTTGCTTAACCTCTGCCTCTGTCCAGTCCCTTGATATGACTTCGGCACATGCCTCCTCGAGTATCCTACGCGGGGCCCAATCCAACACTGGTTCTTCCACATCTCCCCCTGTCTGCTCATAAAAAACATCCGCGAAATGGCTAGTGGCCGCTGCCAGGACCTCCCGAGCCTCTGTGTGACTCGCACCATTACGGACCAATTATTTGATCCCCGACTTCGCTTTCCTGCTTTTGACCAGCGCCGACAGAAGAGCAGTGGGTGCCTCGCCATTAAGCTGCACCCGCAGACCCATCCTCGTTTGCAGGAGGCTCCTACGACCGTCCCAATACGTCTCCAACATCGCCTCCTTGCTCGTCAGCATTGCTTGTAACGTGTCATCGCTCGGATCCGCCATAACTTTCTGTTGCAGTGAGCTCACTTGCTCCTCCAATGCACGCCGAGTCCGCCTAACCCGCCTTCTCTCCTCCTTATCGTACTTCCGAAGACGGGCGCCCAGGCATCTGGATAGCTTGTCAAAGTCACCTCCCCCTTCCGCTTCGTGCTTTCGAACCACCTCAGCCACCGCCACCCCAACACCAGGGCGTTTCGCCAGCCTCGTCGGAAAGCGCCAGACACCCGGCCCAGGCTCCTGCGCACCTCTCCACGCCAACCGCACGCAGACACCGCACTTGTGGTCAGTAATCCCCTTCGGGATCCTTCGATGAGCCACCCTGGCCACCAGCTGCAGCAGCGCTTGTGAAACCAGCACCCTGTCAATCCGAGAGCTAACTTTCGGCGAACCGCAGTAGAAGGTAAACTGCCGTTCATCCGGATTAAGCTCCCTGAACACATCCCTCAGATGGAAACCTTGCAGCATGTGCATCATTATATTGTTATCTCCAACAACACCTTGGCGATTTGACTTGTCTAGCACTGGGTCCTCAATCATGTTGAAATCACCCGCCACCACCAACTGCTCCCCCTTTGGCAAGCCTGCAACAAAAACTCTGAACTCTGTCCCCAAGAAACTGCCCCTTGGAGGAGCCTGCGCTGGGAAATACACCGCCAACAACCTCAGCTGCCTTGCGCCCCACCGCACCCTCGCGTGGAGCAGCGTGCCCGACGCATGCCGGTAAACGTCCTCAACAACCACCCCGTCCCGGAAGCTCAGAACGGCCACCCCACCTGCCCTGGTAGGTGCACCAGCAGCGGCCACACTGTGAGGCTTTAGTTCCGTCCAGAAATTGTGATCTTCTGCCACTCTCGTATCCGCTAGAATCACCACGTTTGCAGCTGTTTTAATCCATCTTTTTAACTTTTGCCGTTTCCCTTCGCTTCCCAAACCGTTGACGTTCAGGGTCATAATGGAAAGACGGTTGGTGTTACTCATTGGATAACCGCCATTGAGCCCCCCTTGCATCCACAGGGCAATGATACTGCAGCTAAAGCACCGACTAAAACTCCTGGGGTACAACAAAAGCAACCAACACCGCAACTATGCCTCTCTAACTTCTCCATTCGTACAGTATGAGATGCTCTGACACCACCATCCCCCACAGCCTGGCCGCAGATCAACGTCACACTCCGAACTCCTTCTTCGCCGCCTGCAACGCCTCACCAGCCTTTGAGGCGCGCGATGCAAAGCCGGTTGACACCCCATCGCTGTGCCTCTGTGAGACCACATGTTCTGCCGCCTGTGCAAAGGCAACCCCATTCGCCTTCTCGCAACACTCCTGCACACAGATCCACTCCTCGTGGTTCGCGCCAGTCGAAATCAGCACCACCGCCGGGTCCTTCAAGATGAGCCTGGTCAGATCTGTGATCTGGACTGAGGCGGCTGCGCGGATCCGACACATCCACATCATTAGCACCACTCCACCTCAAAAACATCAATAGCAGGTGAGCAGTTAGAAAGCGCCAACCATTACCATTCTGTCAGAATGTTATCTTATGTTCTAGCCTGTAGTGGGGTGCTCTATAGCGAGTACAACCCTTCTAGGGTTTGCTATTTGTATCCCCATTCTTGCTAGTGCAATCCTCTTCTTTTCTTCTAATTTTGTCATGCTATCAGAGCAGGTCGATCCCCTTGGATCGATCCTGTGGGTGGGTTACCACCTCGCTTCCGCTGCAACTTTTCCTTCCCGCCGTGCGCCCCGAGGCGCGCGGCGGTTTTCTCCCCGCCGTGCGCCCCGAGGCGCGCGGCGGTTCTCTGCCCGCTGTGCGCCCCGAGGCGCGCGGCGGGCTTCTGCCCCGTCGGTCGCCGCGTCGCCTTCTGGAGGCGTCGCGACGGGCGACGGGGACACGTCGCGGCCCCGCCGCCTTACGTCGCGGCCCCGCCACCCCACTGTCGCGGCCCCGCCGCCCCACTTCGCGGCCCCGCCGCCCCACTTCACGTCCCCGCCGCCCTTCTGTCGCGGCCCCGCCGTCCTCACTTCGCGGCCCCGCCGTCCTCACTTCGCGGCCCCGCCGCCCTACACCTTCGGCCCCGCCGCCCTCCTCCCTCCCCGGCCCCATTTCCCGTCGCCCGTCGCGGCTCCCTCGGGGGCCGCTGGGGGAGGGGGGCGAGCGCCGCCATCCCACCCTGCTTACCCGCCATCCCACCCTGTCTGTGTTAGGGTTTGGGGGTGGCAAGCAGGGGGGTGGCGGGTATGGTGGTGGCAGTTGTGCCTTCCTCCCTTTGCTCCTCCTCCTCCTTCGTCTCCCACTGCTGCAGCTGTCGCTGAGGGGGGTGGATGTGTGGGAGTCTGGGGTTTAGGGTTTAAGGGGGGTGCGTGGGAGTGGAGCTAGGGGTGTAGCAGCGGGTGTGTGTTGGGGGGTGGGACTGTTTGCGGGAGGCTGAGTGGAGGCTGCCAGCTTGTTGTCCGCAGCACCTGTAGTCCGGGGCCTTGTCCCGGTAGCCCAGTGAGCTTGTCGCTGCGCCAGTCGCCTGTGGGTCCGTAGCTACTGCCGCTCGTCTTAGCCGCGGAGCCAATTACTCCTGTAGTCCGGCCGCTTAGTCCGGTAGCCACTCTGCTCGCCACTCCTGTTGCCCGTGTGTCTGCAGCTTCAGCCGCCGCCTTCTATCTCCTCTCCTCTCACTCCCCCTCCTCCTCCTCACTTGCCCGTTGTGACTACCACTAGCTTTGCTTATAATTGTGAACTCTAAACTATTGCTTCTTGAACTTGTGCTCAGAATGTGTGGTGACATTGTGATCCACCCTGAGCTTGTACTGCTTTGCCTGCTCTGCTGATTACACCCCACTTTGGCTATGGGGGTGTGTCAGAATGTTATCTTATGTTCTAGCCTGTAGTGGGGTGCTCTATAGCGAGTACAACCCTTCTAGGGTTTGCTATTTGTATCCCCATTCTTGCTAGTGCAATCCTCTTCTTTTCTTCTAATTTTGTCACATTCATCCCGTGCACATGTCCCAGGGACAGGCTCCACTTGCCGATGTTATTTTTCCGATCCGCCACGTAGTCATCATGATACCTTGTCATATGAAACCCCGAACAGTCAATACAGCTCTGGGAGGGGTAGTGGACCATAAGCTGCTTGTCGTGCGCCGTCGGATCTTCAATCATATGACGCCACCGATACTTGTCACCAGCGTGCTGCTTCACCAGTCCCTTCACCTTGTCCGTATCCATCCCCGTAACAGGATTCACCACCCGATGGAAGCAATAGCCTTCCTTAAACGCAGATCTTCCCCTCTTCTCCAACTTCACCGTCACCAGCATTTCCCGCAGCATCTCAGGCGTGATAACGGCATCCACCTCCTTAAACAGGATTTCCACCAACGTTGGGTCTGCAGCTCGTGCCTTCACGTACGCAGGATCTGCCGGGTGCTCCCAGTCGAGGCTGATCCGCTTTCCATCCAGACACACGTGCACAATACCGTGCTTCCAGACGAAGTTCGCGTCCCGAGCCCGCTCAAAGGTGACTTGCAGCCGACTGTATTGCTTCTTGTTCAGGTACACCACAGATAACTCCTGAAACTTTGTCTCGCCTTGGATCTCAAATTTCAGCTCCTTCTTCCACAGGGTGAAAAGCGCGCGCAGAGTCGCCTATACCCGCGTCACCTCCGGCTTGAAGACTAGAGGGATCAGCAAGATACTGGCGAAACGAACACGCTGAGCAACCGCGTTCTTCGCTGACGCATCATACTGCTCCTTAGGATCATCACTGAGGTACCCGTCATCGTCCTCTTCGTCATCCGTAGATTAAACAGTCGTCGTAACAAGACGCTTCTCCTGATTATCATTGCTGCCTCCCGCACCATCTAAGGCGGTTTCGAATCTGTGAACATTGTAACCAACTGATACGTGCTCTTCACAAACGAGCTCCTTAAAGCCGTCAGGCGGAATCCATGGTGGAGCTGTCATTGTCTATTCTCGCGGTAGAGCCAGCTGTCTGCCTCACCTTGGTCATTCACCTTTCAAAAAAACATTCAAAAGGTGATAGCACATACATCTTATGTACATCAATGAGTAAGATGTTCAATCAATTAGGTTCTTTCACGTTTTGATGTTTCCCTTTGATAAGTTTTAGCTGCCTCGATATTGTGCCGCTTTACGCGACTCGGCAGGGTGGGTTGGGTTGGGTGTCACCCACACGCCGTTTCTGTTGCAACGCAATGCAACTGTGCAACTGCAGACTGGAACGCGCTTCCTCTCCTCTCCCTCCTGGCCTAACTCCTCCCCCTCCGCCTTCCGGTTTCACCACATGCTTTCGCCACATGCATTCGCCAGCGATGTTACGCTTGAGACTTTCTTGCTGGGTTTCTACTGCATTGCGGTTCTGGTTCTGGTCATCGAGAATTCCCATGGCTGTGCAAGTACACGCGCCGCACTCACTCCACAATCAAGTTTACACACGGACGTGACGGACAGGCGACGCTGCTGCGGCGAAGAGAAGCGTTCGATGGTTTTCCTGCTGCTCAAGTTCCCGAAATTCCTCGGTCATTAGCATCCGTTTCTCAGACATTCGCTTGTCGGTCGTAGGACCGAGGCAGGCGCATGTCGATCAATGGACGAGCGTCGGCTCATTTTGTTTCCGTCGTTTCATTAACGAAATCTCAGCGATCGATACAAGCACATCAGTTCCTATTCAGTACTGACGGCCATGGGCCTTTTTACGTTCCTCTTCGGAGAGGACGCCGACGGGTTGGGAGCAGCCATTACCCGCTGGACCATCGAGGTTCGTCGCGTTTCCGTCCGATCCCCAGAGGCTGAGGCGATTTTTTTTCGAATTTCGCCTCATCATTTTTTTACTGAGGATTCTCGTTATTTGCCTATCGCGTGAAAGCACGTCCGCAACATCTATCAGCGTTCTGAGCCCTCTGTTTCTCCGTCGCCGCTCTTTTAACCTCGAGAATACCGTATCCGCTTCCCGCGCATGTAGACATCCTACTTAAACTTGTAACAGGAACCCGACTGCTTGTATTCGTTGCATATCTGTGGATCCTGAATTCGATGCCTCCATGCCATCATCGTTGGATTCGCAGTCATTCTCGTTCTGATGTGTTCACCCCCTTAATACTATCCGTCTACTTGCTCCCAAACTGCTGCTCTCCAGGATTTCGAGGAGCGGTATGAGCAGGGCCTACGTGGCGGCATCGCAGCCACGGATGGTACTTCTTCCACGTCCGACGTGGGAGCATCGACGACGGTGGACAGCACAGTTTCGACAGCCCGAAACCCTCAAGGCTCCAGGCAGCAAGCAGCGTCGCAGGGGCCGCAGGTCTGTCAACTCACCACGTTGAAGACACACTCAAAGAGGAAAAGAAACAGAAAAAAAAGTAGTTTCAGTACAGCCAGTTCCAAGGAGCATCCCAGGGGCCGCAGGCTAGCCAGCTCAGTACGCTGCTGAAGACACTTTAAAGAAAAAAAAAAGTAAAAAGAAGAAGAAAAACTCTTAGTAATATCACTACAGCTGGCAGCAAGCAGCATCACAGGGGCCGCAGGTCTGTCAACTCAGGACACTGAATACACGCTCAAAAGAAACAACAGACTAGGGTAATTTGAATGTAGCTGGCAACAAGGAGGCTCGCAGGGGTGGCAGGTCAGTCAGCCCGAATGCATGTTGTTTTTTCGTGTCCCCGCCTGTCCACATGCGTCTATTCCCATGCCATCATGCAACCGCTTTTCCCCTCCCCCATTTTTCCCCTCCCCCATTTTCCCCTCCCCCAGAATCCATCCCAGAAAGGAGGCCCCCCAGCCCTGCCCCGCCCTCTGCCAATGTTCCCCACAGTGGATGTGCGAGCGCTGGCAGAGGCGGTGAGGGGGGACATCACACCTGCTCCTTTCCCCTCCTTCCCCCCATGCAAATGCACACCGTGTATCTCCCTGACTCCTCTGCAGTCCCACTCACTCGCCTCACGAGAATCAGCGGCACGCAAGGCCCTGCCCATGCATCTGACGGTGGAGCTGAGGGAGCAGCTGGCGGAGGCGGTGGGGCGGGACATCACACCCAGTCCTTTCCCCTCTCCCCCCCCTGCAAATGCGGCCTTGTACCCCCCAGACTCATCTGCAGTCCCACTTACCTGCCTCACGAGAAGCCTCTGTGCGCAAGGCTCTGCCCATGTATCCAACAGTGGAGCTGAGGGAGCTGGCGGAGGCGGTGGGGCGGGACATCATGCGCGGCAATCCCGAGGTGACGTGGAGCAGTGTCAAGGGGCTGGGCGGCGCCAAACAGCTGCTCAAGGAGGCCGTCGTCATGCCCATCAAGTACCCGCAGTGAGTCATGCCCATCAAGTACCCGCAGTGAGTCATGCCCATCAAGTACCCGCAGTGAGTCATGCCCATCAAGTACCCGCAGTGAGTCATGCCCATCAAGTACCCGCAGTGTTGTGCTGTGTGCGGTGCTGTGTTGAGTTGAGTTGTGTCTGTGTGTGTTGCGCCTGTGAGTCGGTGTGGCTGCATGCACGGCGCCATGCAGCTGCTCAAGGAGGCCATGGTGATTTTCTGGCTCTCCCTCTCTCCCGCTCATCCACCACACAACGCTACCGCACAATACTGATCCGTACCGCTGCACACCTCTCTAACGCCATGCACTCTCTGCCTGCCACCCACTCCCTCCCTGCACCAGGTGCATCGCGAGCCTCCACACCCCTCGCACCACACCCCACTGCCCCACAGTATCGAACTGTACCGCACGCACACCATCCTTCCCCCATCCCTTCGTCCCCTCCGCATTCCCTGGCCTTGCACCAGTTACTTCACGGGTCTGCTCGCCCCATGAAAGAAAATCCTGCTTATTCAGCAAAACCTAGCACCGCCTAGTATCGAATCGCACTGCACACCACCCTTAATTCGTCCCTTCTGCTTCCCCCTCCGTGCATCAGGTACTTCACGTCACGGGCCTGCTCGCCCCATGGAAGGGCGTTCTGCTCCTCCACCACACTACACCACCACACAGTGCTGAACCGTATCGCACGCCACCCTTTCCCCACCCCCTTCACCTGTCCCCACCTCCTACCTGCATCAGGTACTTCACGGGTCTGCTCGCCCCATGGAAGGGCATTCTGCTCTTTGGCCCTCCTGGAACAGGCAAGGTAAACAACCACTCTCCCTTACTTGCAACAACCACTCTTCTCTCCGTTCCCCTGCCATTATTCTCCTCTCCCTCTCCCTCGCCCTCGCCCTCTCCCTCTCCCTCTCCCTCCCTCCCCCCCACCTCACCCCAACACCCTAACAACCCCCACTCCCCAACCCCAACACCCCCATACACGCACAGACAATGCTGGCCAAGGCGGTGGCTACAGAGTGCCGCACCACAAGGGGTGGTTAGAGAGGTTCAGCGCACCACAACCTCCGCATTGTGTTGCCTTGCCACGCCCATTCCGCCATCCCACTCCTCCTCACCCCCACACCCGCACAGACAATGCTGGCCAAGGCGGTGGCAACAGAGTGTCGCACCACCTTCTTCAACGTCTCTGCCTCCACGCTTGTCAGCAAGTGGCGAGGTGAGCTTGAGTGAGCATGCAGGCGCGCTGCACCCTTTGGTTTATGTTGCCGTGTCGTGATGCCTGACTCTGATATCGTACAAAAGGACATCTCGCCGTTTTGAGACGTCCCAAAACACTTCTTCAAAAAACGCGCTGCACCCTTTGGTTTGTTTATGTTGCCGTGTCGTGATCCCATCCCTGAATCTGAGTTCGTACAAAAGGGCATCTCGCCGTTTTGAGACGTCTCAAAACACTTCTTCAAAAACGCGCTGCACCCTTTGGTTTGTTTATGTTGCCATGTCGTGATCCCATCCCTGACTCTGAGTTCGTACAAAAGGGCATCTCGCCGGGGCATGAGCTTCGATTCGATGCACGGCAGTGAGGAGCTTTGAGAAGCTGCAGGCGATTCAGAGGAGCTGGTGCGCATGCATGCTTTTCCACGAGGCGCGCGCCCTGGCGCCTCCCACCATATTCCCGGACGAGGTTGATGCCCTCACCAGCCACTGCTATGCCACCGACCCACCCACCAACCTCCTCGTCTTCCCACACCCCTTTGCATCTTTCCCCCCCACAGGCGACTCTGAGAAGCTGGTGAGAATGCTGTTGGATGTGGCGAGAGCGCTGGCCCCCTCCACCATCTTTCTTGACGAGGTGGATGCCCTCATCAGCCACCGGGGGAAGCAGCTACCCACCCAGTTTCCCGTCTGTTCAACCCCCAACCCAACCCACCACCGCCTCCCCTACAGGTGATTCCGAGAAGCTGGTGCGGATGCTGTTTGACGTGGCACGCGCCCTGGCCCCCTCCACCATCTTTCTTGACGAGGTGGATGCCCTCATCAGCCACCGGGGGAAGCAGCTACCCACCCAGTTTCCCGTCTGTTCAACCCCCAACCCAACCCACCACCGCCTCCCCTACAGGTGATTCCGAGAAGCTGGTGCGGATGCTGTTTGACGTGGCACGCGCCCTGGCCCCCTCCACCATCTTTCTTGACGAGGTGGATGCCCTCATCAGCCACCGGGGGAAGCAGCTACCCACCCAGTTTCCCGTCTGTTCAACCCCCAACCCAACCCACCACCGCCTCCCCTACAGGTGATTCCGAGAAGCTGGTGCGGATGCTGTTTGACGTGGCACGCGCCCTGGCCCCCTCCACCATCTTTCTTGACGAGGTGGATGCCCTCATCAGCCACCGGGGGAAGCAAAGCAGCTACCCACCCAGTTTCCCGTCTGTTCAACCCCCAACCCAACCCCACCACCGCCTCCCCTACAGGTGATTCCGAGAAGCTGGTGCGGATGCTGTTTGACGTGGCACGCGCCCTGGCCCCCTCCACCATCTTCCTGGACGAGGTGGACGCTCTCATCAGCCACCGGGGAGGTGGGACAGGCGAGCACGAGGCCAGCAGGCGGCTCAAGACAGAGCTGCTTGTGCAGGTGGGAAGAGGGGGGGTTGGCGTTGACGGGGAGGAACATGATGGTATGACGGTATGAGGGTGCGAGGGCGAGCACGAGGCCAGCAGGCGGCTCAAGACAGAGCTGCTTGTGCAGGTGGGAAGAGGGGGGGTTGGCGTTGACGGGGAGGAACATGATGGTATGACGGTATGAGGGTGCGAGGGCGAGCACGAGGCCAGCAGGCGGCTCAAGACAGAGCTGCTTGTGCAGGTGGGAAGAGGGGGGGTCGGCGTTGACGGGGAGGAACATGATGGTATGACGGTATGAGGGTGTGAGGGCGAGCACGACGCCAGCAGACGCCTCAAGACGGAGCTGCTCAACGTGACTTTGCTCTCACACTCTCACTGCGGTGGGTCTCACTGGCCAGCATCCCCTTTCACCTGCCAGCACCGTTCTGAACCGTGCTGTGCGTGCAGATGGACGGGTTGAGCAGCTCATCAGACCTGGTGTTTGTGCTGGCCGCCACCAACCTATCCGCACCTCTCTCACCTGCCTGCACCACTCTCAACCGTTGTTCTATCTGCAGATGGACGGGTTGAGCAGCTCGTCCGACCTGGTGTTTGTGCTGGCCGCCACCAACCTGCCGTGGGAGCTCGACACTGCCATGCTGCGCCGCCTCGAGAAGCGCGTGAGTCTGTCGGCATGACATTGCATGGTATGCATGCCGTGGCATGGCATGGTCATGTGCCACATGCCTGTGCAATGCTCCTGACAATTGCCGCCACCAACCTGCCGTGGGAGCTCGACACTGCCATGCTGCGCCGCCTCGAGAAGCGCGTGATTCTGTCGGCATGACATCGCATGGTATGCATGCCGTGGCATGGCATGGTCATGTGCCACATGGCTGGGCAATGCTCCTGACAATTGCCGCCTCCAACCTGCCGTGGGAGCTCGACACTGCCATGCTGCGCCGCCTCGAGAAGCGCGTGAGTCTGTCGGCATGACATTGCATGGTATGCATGCCGTGGCATGGCATGGTCATGTGCCACATGCCTGTGCAATGCTCCTGACAATTGCCGCCACCAACCTGCCGTGGGAGCTCGACACTGCCATGCTGCGCCGCCTCGAGAAGCGCGTGATTCAGTCGGCATGACATCGCATGGTATGCATGCCGTGGCATGGCATGGTCATGTGCCACATGGCTGGGCAATGCTCCTGACAATTGCCGCCTCCAACCTGCCGTGGGAGCTCGACAGTGCCATGCTGCGACGGCTGGAGAAGCGCGTGAGTTGAGTTGTACTTGCCACCGTGGCATGGCATGGCATGGCATGGCATGGCATGGCATGGCATCTCCCTCTCTGCTCTCTCCCCTCCTCCCATCCCACTCCCCTCACTTTTCATGTGCCCTCCCCACTTCCAAACCCCGGCGCCTCTACGAGACTCAGATGCCCTGCTGCTGCAGCCACTCTTAGAGTGGACTCTAAAGTCCTCGTACTCCAGAGTGGATCTAGTCCCCCCTTTCCCCACCAGATCCTAGTACCTCTACCAGACTCTGACGCCCGCAGAGCCATTCTCTCCTCGCTGCTGCCACGGCCGCACAAGGCTGCACGGACAGGCACTGGCCTGCACATACAGGCGCCCACCACGCACATACAGGCGCCCACCACGCACATACAGGCGCCCACCACGCACACAGATGCTCACAGCGCGGGGAACGATGGCGGTGCAGAGGTGTGTAAGGATGGTTCCGCGGAAAACGAGGGTGGAGGAGCAACTGCCGGTCGTGAATGTGTGGGGGTGAAGTGGAGAGGGGCTAATGGGGTGGTGGCGGTGCAAGCTAATGGCTGCTCTGATATGCCTCAGAATGCGATGGGGGCACGGGGGATTGATTGCAGCTGGTGCGTGGTTGCTCAGTGCAAGGAAATTGAGGAGCATGGGATAGGGGACGGCGATGGGGGGTGTGGCGGAGAGAGGAGGAGAGAGGATCAGGGCGTGAGGGAGGATGAGAACCAGAGGGAGGAAGCGGGGAGCAAGGAGGAAGGAGAGGGGGCAAGGGAAAAGGCGAGAAAGGAGGAAGGGAGGAGACGGGAGAAGCAATGGGAGGAGGAGGTCGACTTAGAGGGTGTGGTGGCGGCAACGGAAGGGTATTCAGGTGCTGACATGCGGCTGCTGTGCAAGGAGGCAAGCGAGGAGGCAAGCGAGGAGGAGTGGGAGAATGAGATTGGATTGGAAGGTGTGGTGGCGGCAACGGAGGGGTATTCAGGTGCTGACATGCGGCTGCTGTGCAAGGAAGCTGCCATGCGGCCCCTGCGCCGCCTCATGGTCCTTATTGATGGGGCGGAGAGGGTAGTAAAAGGGGAGAGTGGAGAGAGGGGGGAGAGGGGGGAGGAGGGGAAGATGGGGACTCGAGAGGAAGGGGAGATGGTGGATAGAGGGGCGACTGGGGAGCGGGGGGAGAGAGGGGAGAAATGGGAGAAGGAGGGTAGGGAGGAAGTGATGGAGGAGGTGAAGGGGGCAGAGGGTAAGGGTAAGCAAGCGGAGAGGGCTGAGCCGGAGCATGTGCTTGTGCCTGTGCTTGGGCCGATCACGCGGGACGACATGCAGATGGCGCTGCATGTGACCAAGGCGCTGGGCAGGGTGCATGCTGACAGGTACCTTGCTTTCGACCGGGAGTTCGGCAGCAGATACACGTGAAATGATAGACTGATGTGCGTGCAGTGCAAGCTTTGTTAGGCTCCGTAAGGAGCAATTGTATAGAAAGAATTCATTCATGACCAAGATGTTAGGAAAATGTGGCATTGTATATTTTTCCATTTGTTAGCTGTCATTGAATACCACCTAGTCGCATTCGTATAATGTGAATCTCAGAGTACTGGAACCGTATCATAGCTGCATCCAGAAATATTGTGCTACTTTATTGTTATTCCGTAAGGACAACCTTCAAAGCGTGTAGCGGGTTGGTTTCTCCAGCCTCCCTCAAGACTGGTCAAAGGAGGGAAGTTGGCCAGACTGGTTCCGCACCGCATTTCTCGCCGCATCTGCCGTCCAATAAGCATGGCTTCGCCTACTTGTCCCTCCCCTGCTTGCCACATTCCCCGCGCCACCAACCTCTCTCTCTCATCGTGCTCATCCTTCCGCGCGTCCACATTGGTGCCTGTTCCGCAATCCGCGACACCGCGAATCCAACGACCGTCGCTGGCCGTTCGATGCGCATCTGACGGTGAGGATGGGGACGGAGGGGGCGGGAGCAAGTCGCGGCTGGGAAGCATCATCCGCCGGAAACACGCTACGGTGCAGGTGGGTGAGAGTCGGTGCAGGTGAGAGCATTGTTTGAAGTGAGAGACCGTTCGGTGCAGGTGAGACTCGGTGCAGGTGAGACTTGGTGCAGGTGAGACTCGGTGCAGGTGAGACTCGGTGCAGGTGAGACTCGTTCGAGGCGCCGTAAAACCCGTACAGATAAGAGTGAGTCGGCTAGGATTGCTAGCAATCGACAGCGCGCCTCAGCCTTGTTACCCCATTCTCCCCTCCCCATCCATAATCCCCCCTTTCCCTCTCATCCTCCCCTCCCCTTCCTCCACCTCCCCTTCCCCGCGCGTCCGTTCCGCGGTCCCGCAGGCGCGGCTGCAGCAGATGGGGCAGGACGAGGTGAATCGCCGCCTGGAGGGCGCAGTGCGTCTGCACCCGCCCGCACATCCGTACCCCGTTCCTTCCACCTCCCCCCCTTCCTCCGGCCGACCCCTCCCCTTTCCCACAGGCGCGGCTGCAGCAGATGGGGCAGGACGAGGTGAACCGCCGTCTGGAGGGCGCAGTGCGTCTGCACCCGCCCGCGCAGCTCACAGACCTGCTGCTGCGCGGGGCCCCGGGCGCGGAGGGCGGGGGCGGCCTGGAGGGGCCAGGGGGGGCGGATTGGGGGCGCACGACGCTGGTGGTGGAGGTGGCGCGCGCGCGCCCGTCCGAGTCCCCTGAGAGCCTTGCCAGGCGCTGCCAACAATACGTTGCTCTTGGTGCGTGGGAGCATGGGTGGACAGGGGGGATGGGGAGATTGGGGGCGCCCAGGGAACAGGGGGGATGGGGAATTTGGGGGCGGGGGGCAGGGGGTGACAGGGGGGATGGGGAATTTGGGGGCGGGGGCCGGGGGGCGACAGGGGGGATGGGGAGATAGGGGGCGCGGGAGGGCAGGGAAGCGCGCGGCGCTGGTGGTGGAGGTGGCTCGGGGCTCGCCCATCAGAGTCGACTGAGAGCCTTGCCAGGCGCTGCCCACAATACGTTGCTCTCGGTGCGTGTATGGGAGGGTGGATGAGGGGGTGGGTGGAGTTGGTGGGTGCGTGTGTGGATGGGTGGGTGGGTGGGTTGATGGGGAGGGTTGGTGGAATAAGTTAGTGCCACTCAATTTACAGTGAGTCCCTTGTCTTGTCTTTCAGATCAGAGTTGAATTCTCCCGCTTCCTTGTTCCACATCCCTCACACGAACACACTCATCACGTGTGTGTCCTTCTGCTGCTCTCCCCTCCCTCTCCCCATTCTCTTCCCTGCTTCAGGCCGCTCCCCTCCGGACCAGATTCCTTACCCTTCCCCCATCGTCCCCCCTCCCCTTTCAAGAGCGGGCACAATGATGGTTTGCTGGCCTTCGCTTAGAGTAGAAAGAGCCACCGCTCTCCCCTCTCCCACCCCTCTCCCTTCCCCCCCTCCTTCCCCTCCCACCGCTCTCCCTTCCCCCCCTCCTTCCCCTCTTCTCCCCTGCCGCTTCCCCAGGAGCGGACACGGTGATGGTGTGCTGTGATGAGGAGATTTCCCCTGATGGCCTTGCTGACGTCAGAGCTGTATCCAGAGGTGTGCTGCTGCTGCTAGTGTCCGATTTTTCCATGCAAAAAAAAAAAAAAAAAAAAAAAAAAAAAAAAAAAAAAAAAAAAAAAAAAAAGAGAAACACAAAATGCCATGCCTTTCATTTCCCCTTTCCTTTTTTCATTTTCCTATGCTTCTCATCTATTCATTCTTTCAAGTTTCCCCATTCCTCCCCACGGGTAAATGACATCCCAGTAACCGTTTTCACACTTCCTATGTCCGTCTACCCGTCTCCACTCCACTCCTCTTCTACGCCCACCAGCCCTCCCTGGAGTGCCAGTCATTGTAAAGGTCTGGATGCTACATCCCATTCAGGTAGTCCTGCTACATCCCATTCAGGTGTTTATTACTGGAACCCATACCATCTGCCACAGTACCACCCACTTCTTCTTCATCTTGCTGTTCTCGGCACCAGATCTTCTCTTGAGAAAAAAGCAGCACTTTCCGTTGCACCTCCCATCTGATTCCCATGCCTCTGATTTTGTGAGTACATTGTTTACACACTGACTCTGTGTGTCTGCATGGCGGTGGGGATGTGTGTGTGCGGCTGGCTGCCTGAATGGGTGGAGGAACTGTGATTGTGTGCGCGATTTTGGGCGTGAGGGTGTTTGCATGTGCGGGTGAGTGAGGGAGTGAGAGCGTGTCTGTGTGAGTGAGTGAGTGAGTGAGTGAGGGCAGGTGGCAGAAGCAGCGGAGGCAGGGGCAGCAGCTTTTCATATAGTGCACGGGGTTCTCAATAAAGGTGACTCCCCACACCCGCCGCTCCACCTCACCACACCCTCTTCACCACCTTCCCACAGCCCCACAGAAGAACCTCTAAGACCTTTGAAGATCCTCAAAGATACTTTTAGATAATCCTTGGCAATGCTGCACTAAGCAGCTAGATGGTTCTCTTTGGCTTGCATGCTTAGCATTTTGACGGCCTCAATCCTGGCTGCCCAGAGCACCTAGCCGATACAGCCACGACCCACGATGACCCCCCTGGCTGTGATGCTTTGCCAGCCCGATGAAACCAGCTGCTGCTATCTTATCGCCTTGCCTGTTTGTACGCTCGTTTTTAGCGTGTTTGCGTGACTGCATGCGTACATTGTGCATGGATGCATGCATAGATGCGTGTGTGCATGTGTGTTGATGGTTGGACTGAACACATATGTATGCGGTGTCTTCATATGTGTGCATGTATGTCCATGTGTGTCCATGTGTGTCCATGTGTGTCCATGTGTGTCCATGTGTGTCCATGTGTGTCCATGTGTGTCCATGTGTGTCCATGTGTGTCCATGTGTGTCCATGTGTGTCCATGTGTGTCCATGTGTGTCCATGTGTGTCCATGTGTGTCCATGTGTGTCCATGTGTGTCCATGTGTGTCCATGTGTGTCCATGTGTGTCCATGTGTGTCCATGTGTGTCCATGTGTGGTCATGTGTGTCCATGTGTGTCCATGTGTGTCCATGTGTGTGTATGCATGTGTGTGCAGCCACGGCTCCAATGCTCGCCTTTGCCTTTGGACTGGGAGTTGACGTGGCAGTAGAGGTGAGTCAACGCAAGTCAAGCAGGTGAGTCAACGCAAGTCAAGGTGAGTCAACGCAAGTCAAGCAGGTGAGTCAATGCAGACAATCTCACAAAGTTGGGACCGTAAATGAACCATCGTCGATGCACAACAACATCGTCAAACCCATCAACCCCATCAGCATCATTTGCATCATCAGCATCATCAGCATCGTTTGCATCATCAAGAGCACCGTCACAACAGTGATAGCACCAGCCATGACCCCAACAGTCACCTCATGGTTTCCCTTCCACTCATACAATTCCCATCCCCATCCCCATCCCCATCCCCATCCCCATCCCCATCGCCATCTGCACCACCATCAACATCATCAGGTGGTGAATCTGGAGGAGCTGAAGCGACTGGAGCCGCTCGCCATTCCCCTCTATGGCCTCAACCTCTCTGTTGGGCTCGCTGTGAGTTCATTGACGGCTGGCAGGGTGTTCACTGACGGTTAGCAGTGAGTTGATAGACTGCTGGCAGTGTGGTCGCCGACTGTTAGCAGTGAGTTGATAGACGGCTAGCAGTGACAGTGAGTTTCAACCACCAAAGTTCCTTCTTCGGTCCGGCTACTCTTCGCAAATGCTACATTGGGCACTAGCACCGCTGTGCATCACCTCAAGGTGACTTTTGAGTCGACTCAAAAGTCACATTGGGCACCAGCACCGCTGCGCATCACCTCAATCTCTTTCCCAAATTATTTCATCCCCTACTCCCTCTCCCCGCTCCCCCCTTCCCTCTCCCCTATCCCCTATCCCCTATCCCCTATCCCCTATCCCCTATCCCCTATCCCCTATCCCCTATCCCCTATCCCCTATCCCCTATCCCCTATCCCCTATCCCCTATCCCCTATCCCCTATCCCCTATCCCCTATCCCCTATCCCCTATCCCCTATCCCCTATCCCCTCTCCCCTATCCCCTCTCCCCTGTCCACTCTCACTCCTCCTTATCGCCACTGAAATCAGCACTGGGTTGTCAGCATTGACACATGGTTGTCAGCATGGACACATGGTTGTCAGCATGGACACATGGTTGTCAGCATGGACGCAGGGATGCCATGTCAGCATGGGCGCAGGGATGCCATGTCAGCATGGGCGCAGGGATGTCATGTCAGCATGGACGCAGGGATGCTATGTGCAGCATGGTCACAAGTGTCGCATTGTCTTCCCTTTCCACATGGGTCTCCTCCCCCACATCCGACCCCTCCTCCCCCACAGGTGTCAGCACCCGGGTTCAGGCAGAGCGTAGCCAAGTCGTTGCTCTCCTCCATGCCTTGTGGAGCTTGCAGCGTGCCCTCTGTCTTCTCACCATATGCTATCTGTCGTCCCTCCCCTCATGGGTCTCCTCCCCCACATCTGTCCCCTCCTCCCCCACAGGTGTCAGCACCCGGGTTCAGGCAGAGCGTAGCCAGGTCGTTGCTCTCCTCCATGCCCTTTGGTGCTGCTGCTCTCGTTGTGAGTTGGTTACCATCTGCACAATGTAACCCTTTTCTTTGCTGGTAGAATGTGGTAGTTCTTAAAAGCTGCAGTACAGGTCAGTGCGTCTGTAATCACACGATGGATAGTGCACATCTCTCCATGGCTTCATGCATATATTCATGCATTCTTTCGTGGATGCACTAAGTCGTAACTTGCTTGCTGATGTGCTGGTTACATGGTAACCACACAGGGCGCCTCATCTGTGGAGGATGTGCGGATGATGAAGGCAGCAGGTGCGACAGCAATTGTGCTCAAAAGGGAGGTGTTTAAAGGGATGGAGGGCGGTGGCACGGGGTTGGGAGAGAAGGAGGAGGAGAAGGCCTTGCAAGTCCTGTTTGAGACGCTCAACTACATCTTGACTGGCGATGACTAATGTTGACTTCCGTTGACTGATGTTGGCTTGTATTGACGGATGTTGACCAGCATAAACCGACGCCTGGGAGAGAAGTCCTACTGTCCACTGGCAGTGTCCTGATATATTTTTATTGAGAATACCATGGGATGGGCAAACTGGTGAAGGATATTAAATACTTGCTTATAAATCTGGAATATCCAGAGAAAAGAGGAGAGGGTCTTGGAGGGTGCTCGGGGGTTTCCAAGTGCAGCAACTACCGTATTTGTTTCAGAGGTGGGTAATGAATGTACCGATGACAACACAGGGAAGAAAGGGAGCTTACTCTGTTGTGGAGAAAAACAAAGGATTGCTTGCTTTGTAACGCATGATTTCCTTGATGAGTTGTTTCCTAAGCTCCACGTCTGAGATGCCTTCGCGACTCGTCTGCTGTATATGACACCCTCGGTTCCGACTCTGCTGCTGCAATTGTCCCTTCTCCTGATGATGGTGATGACATTGCTGCTGCTGCTGCTGCTGCTGCTGCTTCTGAATGGTCTGTAAGCCAATGGAATACATTTCAGATACAACCAGCCCATGTGCTGCTGATTTTGTACCATTGACACCATGGCTTCCACATCCTAATCTCAAGCTTTCACAGTCTGTCAGTACTGACCCACCACCACCATCAGCAGCAACATCACCAGCAGCATCACCAGCAGCATCACCTGCAGCATCACCAGCAGCATCACCAGCAGCATCATCAGCAGCATCACCAGCAGTATCACCAGCAGCATCACCAGCAGCATCACCAGCAGCATCACCAGCAGCATCACCTGCAGCATCATCAGCAGCATCACCAGCGTCACTAGCGCCAGCAGCACAAGGAGCATCAACAGCAGCATCACCACCGGCGCCATCACTGGCATGAGCAGCAGGCGGCAGGTTAAGGTCAGGGACGGTGTAAGCCCGGCTTGTGTGTGGTGACACAGCCATCCATGGGCTTGTGTGTGGTGACACAGCCATCAATGGGCTTGTGTGTGGTGACACAGCCATCAATGGGCTTGTGTGTGGTGACACAGCCATCAATGGGCTTGTGTGTGGTGACACAGCCATCAATGGGCTTGACGACTGGGGAGTGAAGCAGCCGCTCCTTATTGCAACACCCTCACCTTCTGAAACACCCTCACCTGCTGCAACACCCCCACCTGCTGCAACACCCTCACCTGCTGCAACACCCTCACCTGCTGCAACACCCTCTCCTGCTGCAACACCCTCACCTGCTGGAACACCCTCTCCTGCTGCAACACCCTCACCTGCTGGAACACCCTCTCCTGCTGCAACACATGCCTCAACCATCTGCCTTGCACCATGATTGACCGGCTCAGGTGACTCAAATGGCCCTGAGAAGACCACAGTCAGGGGCTGCGGCATGGGCAAGGGCAGGGGCAGGCCGTGCGAGGGAAGCAGCGGCAGGGGCAGGGGCAGGGCAGGGGCAGGGGCAGGGGCAGGGGCAGGGGCAGGGCAGGGGCAGGGGCAGGGGCAGGGGCAGGGGCAGGCGCAGGGGCAGGGGCAGGGGCAGGGGCAGGGGCAGGGGCAGGGGCAGGGGCATGGGGCAGGGGCAGGGGCAGGGGCAGGGGCAGGGGCAGGGGCAGGGGCAGGGGCAGGGGCAGGGGCAAGCCTACTGAGAGCTTGGCATGGAAGTACGTCACCCAGGTGGGCCGGGGCGAGATACTGCTTGCACTGGTGGTGCCACCGCTGCTGCGGCAGTGAAGCTCCGGCAGGATTGTGCGTCCCTCCGGGCAGCCAGCCGCGGGGTGACTGGGTGTAGCAGCGATCTCTGACGGACTGCCGGCCGCCGAGCGCCTTGACTTGCCACTGCCACTAGAGCGTCCTGACTCTCCATCCATGGTGCGATGGCCAGCACCATCAGCAGCACCATCAGCAGCACCATCAGCAGCACCATCAGCAGCAGCATAGTGCTTCCGCTTCCTCACTAATGCCTCGTGCTCCTCCACATGCTCCACGCTGCCCTCCTGCTCCACGTGGCCCTCCTGCTCCACGTGGCCCTCCTGCTCCACGTGGCCCTCCTGCTCCACGTGGCCCTCCTGCTCCACGTGGCCCTCCTGCACCACCTTCCGACGGGCTTGCTGCGTCCACTCCACGGTCTCTCCTCCAGCCGCCATGCTCTGCCCCTCAACCACCTCCTTGTTGTGCTCTTGAACGACCTCCGTATGGTGCTCTCGCAGCAGGTGCTTCGCCCACGGGCTGCGTAACGCCATGCTCGCCACGAGCCTGCTTGCGATAAGCCTGCTCGCCACGAATTGCTGGCGCGCTCCATCACAGCCACGCCTCACAGCTCCGTGATCGTTTTTGAGAATTCTCATTCTCGAAGGTGACTCAGGATCAGCTCCGTGATGACGGCCCGTGCTGATGCTGGAGCCATCCGGACCATGATGCTCCCCATGCGGCTCAAGCAGCGAGATTGCGTGCTTGGCGTCGTGAGGAGGGGTCCATGCGGCAGCGGTAGTGGCGCCAGCCATGACCGGTGTATCCGTAGTGGGGCAACCAGCGTGTGCGCACGCTGCTCTTGAAAAAACAGGTTTCTCTTGAAAAGAAAGCAGGCTGCTTCTGACAAAGCGGGCCGGTATTGATATAACAAAGTCTTCTCCTGATAAGCAGGATGCTCCTGAAAAAACAGGCTGCTCCTGAAAAAACAGGCTGCTCCTGATAAGCAGGATGCTCCTGACCTGACCAGATCTGGCCTGACCAATGCTGTAGTGCTCTAGCAATAGTATATCGACTCACAGCTGACGTTGGACGGTTGATTTGACTTGCATCCTTCAACGGAACTTACTCCGCACACAGGTAATGATCGTACCGGTGCAGGTAATAGGAGATGTCTGGTAGAAGTGACGCCATCGATTCTGGTAAATGCTCGTTTACAGGAACCCATCTCGACCCCCTGCTGAAGCGCTAATACCGGAAGAGAAGCAAAAGGGGCAGCATTACTTGGATGATTAGTCATGACTCAGCAACAGGCTGTTCGAATGATCGAATTGAGATATTGTCGAAATATCTAACCATCGGTTTCAAGGCAACTGGGAGGTGAGAATTCCCCAATCCTGCTTACTTACCCTTCACTCGACTCTTATCGTCACTATAACGGGGACCCTTATCGTCACAATAACGGGGGTAGATGTTACGGCGTACCTATTCCCAGGCATGGCCGCCTGGTACGGCAAACCTCAGCAATTATGAAAATGCAATGTATTGCGGATTTAGTCTGACGTCACAAGTCCAGTAACAGCGGAATGAAGACCGCCTTTTTTCTTCTCCTGGATTGCTCAGCCTGTCATCTCACGTGATGGCGGTGACGCGCGTCCGCTCTTAACTCCGCTTCTGTGTAGGCTACCCCAGGACGACTCACAACAAATAGGGTATGAATCATTCTGTGTAACGGATGTCAACATTGGGGCATGCGCTATCTTTCAAGCTCAAAGCAGGTTTGGCAGGCGTACTTAGGATGCGGTACTCCTGGAGAAACGGGGAAGTTACCTTGGATGCTGTAGAAATGTGTTAAGGCCTGCAGACTCAAATCTTGATCCGCCAGTGCCTTGTACCCACGGCTGACAGGGCTGGTGACAACCAGCGTTGGGGTGATGTGGGGAGTGGGGAACTCACTGCGAAAGGCGGTGAACCCTATGATTCTTCTGTGCCACGTGTATTGCAGAATCCTGGTTATAGGGGTTCCATCATTGGGCAGGAGAACCACGACACGGCATCATTCCCATCACCGCCTTTGTTTGAGAGCTGGGATGAGAGAGGTCAGAATTGGGAGCTGGGATGTGTACTTTCCCATTTCGGGTTTAGTCCTCGCTCAAGCACGTGGTGATGCATGTGCACCGGGTTTAGTCCTCGCTCAAGCACGTGGTGATGCATGTGCACATGTGCAAACCTGCTGGCAGATGTCAAGAAAGGATAGCAGTCACCCTCCATGCTCGGGAGCGTGCTGAGAGCAATCCCGAGGGCAATGTCAACTGACCTAGAAATTGCCACGAACGTGCCAGAGACCAAAAGTGTGCAAGAGACCCCAGCTCGATGATGTTCATTCGCTGCGTCAAGGTGAATCGAAATTCGTACTGCAACTGTACCGTAACTTCATTCCGATGTGGGAGGGCGCTCTGAAGGTCGCCAAACATCGGGCGGAATCTAGGGTTAGAGCAGAGCGGACACCTCACCGCCATCACGTGAAATTCCAGCAGGCTCATCAAGAGAAGTCGGTCTTTATTTGGCTATTTAGATATGTCAGAGCGAATCCGAATCTCCAAACTTAGTGCATTGATTCAGCATGTGTGTCCGACTATCCACTAGGGCTCTACCTCGGATTACTTCCCCCGTTATAGTCGCGGCATTCGCTCAATAGTAGGGGAGCAGGATCGGAAAAATCACATCTCCCCATGGCGAATTAGAACCTCTGCTGTGATATATATTTTTAAAACAATCTCAATCTTATTCGAGCAGTGATGGCGATTACTACGAGGAATGCTCCCGCGGTTCCTTGCCTTCAAGCGCCAGCGAGGAGTCGCCATCCCTCGACAACACTTCGAGGGATGTCGACATATCCTGACGGTCGGAACCCTCGATCCGAGGCTTGACATTTACCAGCATCCCTCGAAGCTTGTCGGGGGATGTCGATGTTCCCTGCAAACACGCTCTAAGCACAACATAGAGCGGCTTTTTCCAGTACCCACGCACTCATCCACAACAGACTCAATCTGTTGCCTTAATTACTAATACCACCAGCGCTCAGAATTCCAAGCCTAGCACTACTAGCTGCTTGGGGAAACAGTTCGACGCTCAGGGATTCAAGTTGAAACCGTCCGAGTGTGAGTCGATATTCTGCTCGTGCGCTGCCGGGGTCACGTCGTTTGATAGGAATTTCCAGCAACAGCCGGTTTGTTATCAGAAAAGGCCTGTTCTTTACAGTGTTGCGGAAAGCATGGCGCCGCGAAGCCCGTGGACGAAACAGCTGCTGCGAG